TCGCACGCCCTCTCCCGCGAAGTTATTCTTCTGTTCTTCCATATCAGCGGCAGCAGGTACTCCTTTGCCTGCGAAAATTGAGGAAACATACATTACGAGCCTGAATTATGCTCAAAATATGGGATACGCTCGGTCAAAGTTAGTCACTGAAACGGTGATCGGAGAAGCTGCGAGACAAACTGGAATGCTGGCAAAGGTTTTGAGAGTTGGTCAGATTGTTGGAGATACAATGGAAGGGCTGTGGAATAGTACAGAGGCTATCTCACTGATGATAAGAAGTGCTACAACGCTTCATGCTTTACCGGCCCTAGATGAGGTGAGAATCTCCATAGTGTACACTTCTGATGCAAGTACTAACGATACATAGACACCTTCTTGGTTACCTGTTGATATTGTTGCAAAAGCTGTGTTGGAGATCGCTGGCCTCGAGAACTACTCACCAGAAGTATCTATGCATGAACCGGACTCAAGAGACATTGTCTACCATGTACAAAACTCGCACACTTTCTCCTGGACTAATGACCTTCTTCCTGCTTTACATGCAGCGGGATTAGAGTTTGATATTGTCAATCAAAAAGAATGGATTAAGCTACTTAGGGAGAGTGAACAAGATCCGGATAAGAACCCAACGATAAAGCTTCTGGATTTCTTCACTGAAAAATATGATAATGACAAGCCTGGTCGACAGGGACTTGTCTTCAAAACGGAGAAGACGGGTTCAAAGTCCGTGGCTATTAAAAATGGTTGCGACATTGTGGCGAGTGGGCTGGTCAAGAAGTTTATTGATAGTTGGAGAAAGGAGTGGTGATCACTTAGATGTACGCTTGTTGTATTCATCATTTTTAAGTTTATCCTGTTTAGTACAATATTCCCAATATCTTTGATTATAGGCAGCTCGCTCGTATGGCCGTTCTCATTCGTGCTCTATGTAACGCTGTTATCTCTTAACACACTCTTTTTACCTTTATCATGCTGTGACCCTACCGTTGAAATCAGAGAGCTTATCAACTCAGATAACATCAAAAAGCCAAGCGCAATTTGATAGGTGGCAGGGTTGGGTTGCGTTGTTCACGTCACATTGCAAGCCATTCTAAAGCCTCATCTAAAATTCGGAAATAATACCAACAATAGTTGTTTCACATCCCCGCATTGTGCCGTTGACATTTCCGGCTCTGCACTCGCTACACACTTTCCTCATCCTCAGCTCCATCCGTTTGTACGGATCCAAGATACCAGCTAAGGTCATTCAATGTTCCGGACTACAGTCCAATGATACAAGGGTTCGAATATCTAAAAGCTGTTAGAAGTTCGAAAATAGTTTAGTGTTTTAATCGAATTCAATAGCTTAAATGACTTGGATGCTCTAATTAGTTTGGGAATTCAACAATCTTTATTGTTGGACTGCAGTCCGGACCATTGGACACTCTGTAGCAGCCGACCGGATATGTATAATGTTATTCATGTTTGAACAATTGCATACCCGTATGCAGATCATTAGCAGTACCACGTGTCTTTCGCACGTTTTTGCTATCAAAGATTTACGAGTATAGCCTGGAAGTGATGGCAAGGTTGCAATGTCCTTTTCCGTGAGCCGTGGGGTAACGCGGGGGAAGTGAGGGGCCCCGCATACCGCATATTGAGCTGTATGTCCCCATGTATCATTTCTTTATAGCTGCGATAGCTTTCATCAATATTATGAATTCTCAAGCTAGCTTTTACTTAGATCTTACCTTGGTATATCCAGTAAGAGATACTTTCCAGACTCCAATTTAATATCAAAAGCTTGTGCCAATTTTCTAGGTCAACAATATCATTTCCTATCAATCGCGAAGACCGCAAGAATTGCATCATATGAGCCATGGCAGCCCTTGGCGCTTCGCAAACTAATACCGACACCGACACTAAGATCAACTCTAACGAAGTAGAGTTCGTAGAATATGCATCCTCAACGCCCGCGAAACCTGGTCGTGCTCCAGCCTACGTACGCAATCTTACACCAGAAGATCGTAAGAGAATTGAAACTTCCCTGAGGCGAAAGGTCGATACGAGATTACTTCCTATGATTGTTCTTATTTATGTCATGAACTACCTGGATCGTAACAATATTGCTGCTGCAAAATTGGCTGGACTAGAAAGAGATTTACAGTTGACTGGAGATCAGTTTCAGACTTCTGTTAGTATTCTGTTTGTGGGATATTTGCTGATGCAAGGTAACTTTCCCGGGCCCAAAAGCAAGCAAGGTCGTTGAGTATTACTGACGAGAACCTAATTAGTGCCATCTAATCTTCTTCTTAACAAGCTTGGCAAACCGTCCCTCTATCTTCCTGGATGTATGGTAGTTTGGGGGATTATCTCGGGGGCTACAGCTGGGTGTCAAACTTACGGTGGTCTACTCGCGTGTCGATTCATTCTTGGCTTTGTTGAGGCGGCTTACTTTGTAAGTCATGCTTCACTACACCTAAAACTATATCATCTTCTAATCGTGATTTAGCCCGGTTGCCTGTATTACCTTTCTTCTTGGTACACACGTAAAGAACTTGTCAAAAGAACGGCTCTTTTATACTCAGGATCTCTACTTTCGGGTGCATTCTCAGGGTTGATCACTGCAGGTATAACGAATGGGTTGGATGGCGCCAGAGGCCTTAGTGCTTGGAGGTGGCTTTTTATCGTCGAGGGCGCGATTACAGTGCGCCCCCATAAACCAATTCCCGCATTTTTCGAAGTTCAAATTCACTAACAAATACAGGTTTTCATAGCGCTGTTTGCGTTCTTCATCCTACCTGATCTTCCACGTACAACAAGCTGGCTATCTGAAGACGAGAAAGAACTCGCAGCCTGGAGATTGGAAGAAGATATCGGACAAGACGACTGGGTTGATAGTAAGCAACAAACCTTTTTACACGGCGGCAAACTTGCTGCAAAAGATCCGAAAGCATGGCTTCTTCTCGCCACTATCTATGGATTTACATCAGCGGGTACTGTCACCACTCTGTTCCCATCAGTTGTTAAAGGGCTTGGCAGGGGCAATATCGAAACACTTCTCTTGACAACACCCCCATATCTAATTGCTGTTATCGCCATTCTTTGTAATGCATGGCATGCAGATGCAAGTGGTGAAAGATATCTACACATTGCTGGACCTCCGGTTTTGGCTTTTATCAGTTTTGCCATTGCAGCTGGCACTACTAAATTTGCACCAAGATACTTGGCCATGTGTCTCATGGTGGGAGCAAACTATTCGGGATACGTTGTTGCACTTAGTTGGATTTCAAATGGTATGTTGAATAATGGTCCCAGGTTTGTTAGGTATAGAGACTAATGTAATGGTACATAGTACTTCCTCGACCTCCATCGAAGCGTGCAGCTGCTCTCGCCGGTATCAATGCGTTGAGTAACGTGGCTCAAATTTATTCACCATACCTCTATCCCAGTAAGTTTTAATGAGCCCTGGTGCTGCATTTGATATTGGAAAATTATCGCTCTAACCTCTCACAGCCAGCGATGCACCTCGTTACGCGAAAGCAATGTATGTCAACCTTTCAATGTCAGTGGTATCGATTGTTTTTGCCACAATACTTCGATTCCATTTAATTGAGTTGAATAAGAAGTTAGACAGAGGGGAAATTGTAGATGGAGTTAACGGTAGAGTTGCCCCAGGAAGGAGTGTTGAAGAGGGCGAGGGAGAAGAAGTTGCTGTTGATAGAGGATTCAGATTTTTATACTAGATATCTTATATCATGTGAGTAACATGGCTGTCAATAGTCTGGATTGTAGTTCAGGAATAAAGATTATTAAGTTCTTAAATTATTTAAAATGTTCAAAGCGTTTGAGATGTTTAATTTGAGTGGAACGTAAATCCTATTCAGATTTCTGATTGCTCTTAGATATTCAAAATCTTATATTGTTGAACTATAGTTCGGACCATTGGATAACTTGTGAGGGAATAGATTTTTGAGAAATATGTTGTTCGTAGCCAACATTCTCAATGAAATAGTGCCAAGTATAGACCTAACGATAGGTACCTACGTAGGTTAAAAAAGTCATCGTTCCTTCTCAAGCTACAGTACCTTCAGCAAACTTTGGTAAAGTTCCACAATAGCCCACTGCAATTCACTCAATCCTTCATAGATTCTCATGTTTATGATTATAAATATTCAAAAAACCGTACCCGTTCCATCAAACATGCCAAACATGAAAACCCCGGTGACGCGTAAGTTAATCCGAATACTACCTATAAGGAAAATGAAGATTTTAAAACTGACAATATCATACAGAATTGTTAGCGTGTCGATCTTATATTCTTCTGAGAAATCAGATTATTATGAACGTCGAAAGTTGTGGGTTCAAGTCCCACCCGGAGTATCATATTTTTGCCATTCTTCCTATTTATTTCTTCTCTTCTCTTTCGAGTTTGATAACTTAGGAAGGTGAGGTAATGGTGGTGGTGAAATTACCGGTCAACGTGTGGATATCGCGGAACGTGATGGCTCGCAAACATGAAATTCGCACTCTAGTCCAGTCATTTTGTAGCTCATATCAAAGGAGAAGCAATGGAGTCGCTGTGTCTATCTCGAATCATTGTATGTACTCATTCTACAAGGAGTGATGTTCTTGAATGTTCTCATGCAATGTTGTGAAGAACCCCAGAGGGAGCTTTCAGCTCATCTAAAGTGATCATGAAATTGTGAAGGAATGCTCTAACTCGCTATGAGGGGGAAACTTATAGGATTTTGATTTGCGAAAATCTAGAATTGTGAAATAGCCAGCAACACTGACGATTCCCACCTAGCCTGCCATTCAATTCCATTAAAATCCATCTACTTTGAAACACCGACAAGCAAGACTGTCGATGACATAACTTTATTTTGAACATCTCTTAATGTTGACGAGTTGTTTAAAAACGGTCCAACAATTACTTGACTTCTGTAAAATGAAATAAGCTAATTCGTATGAGACCAAACCCCCCAAACTTCAACCGACGGAAAATGATGAACTGGATATTAATCACAGTAACTAGATTCACTGCTATCCGAACCATAAGTCAGCCTTAAGCAAAGTCAGTTTAAATGTTCGGTCAAGTTATTTCTTCTCCAAGTTCCAACTCACTTTTTGCTTGTGAATATGCCTTTCATCTTTTGCCATAATCCCCTAGTTCCTTTGCCCTGTGCACATGAATCACTAGAATAGCTAGGCGGTTGATGCGACCGAAAGCAGTTTGGAGCGGGTCCGAGTACTCTATCCACGATAACATGTACCGGCGCGTTAGGTGTCAGTGTCGGAAATCTTGGCTTGGGAGGGCCAGGAATTGGCCACATTGACATGGAGATCTCCCATCCAGGCTGAACATGATCTTGCCAGAGTTGAGGGAGGATGACTTCCCCAGCCGGATTCATAATATCGTAATGTCCTTCTTTGACATGTGGGCCGATGATTTCGACATGTAGAAACGCTGCTTTAATGAGTTCTGAGATTCCCTAAGAATGTTAATAAATTTGATAGAAAACAGGAGGAGCTCAATTCTACTTACTGCCCAGGTCTCACATCGGTGATAAGGGAAACTGAAGCGTCTCCCGACTGCATCCTTAAGTTTGATTGGTTTTCTGGTGTCTGTCTTCTCACTTAACAAACTGGAATTTGCCTCTGCCTGGCGTGATAGGGCATTTTCAAGCCGTGTAATGAGTCGTTCTTCCTGGGATGCCTCTAGCTGCTGAATAACATTCTCAAGTTTTGAAAGCAATCCATCGGGGTAATTTTGGTCACTTTCTGCTGCAGAGCCTGCCATGAATCCTGAATTGCCAGGTACTGTTGTCGTAAAAATTAAGGCATCGACTTGCTGAATCGTCGCAGCTGAGTCTACTGCTATTTCATGAGAAATTGGGGTAGTTGGCTGGTTTACCGGCGCCGTTGGCAGTGTCTCATTACTTGCTACAGATACATCACCATGATTAGTGTAAGCAGGTGGGGGAGACGATGATTGGTTTGTCTTTGGCATTGTGAAATGTTCAGAATGCTTGGTGTATGTAGACCTTTTATATTGGTATGCAAGAAGGAATGAGTTGAATGGGTTTTCACAATATTCTTTGATACGTCTTATACTTATTTGATTTGAAAAGGGAAAATATCGAAACGATGTCTGATGGTTAAAATTTGGAATGGGGCATTTGGGGCATTTGTACTCGGCGGTAAACGAATGTTTTCAAACTGCTTGAGGCTTTCTTTTCGTGTGACGCATGTCAGACTGACAAGGCTGCAGAGAAGCAGCTCAGAGTTGGTTGAACTCGCCGACTTCGACCAATGACTGTGTTTTGTGACGAAAAAAGGAAAAGGTGACTGCATATCTGCTGACTACAAAGTCGCCCCGTTGTTAATTTACCGGATCGTGAATGTTGCACCTATTGATTCAGGGCATTCTTTCCTGGGGGTCAAGTGAAAAAACAACCGCACTTCCCAGCGTACAATTATGTAAGGATGACGCTTCGATTGTTGGAAAACAATCGAAAGCTACATGCATAAATCCTTTGCTCACACATGTGTAATCGTCATTTTGCGGCACCTGGGGCTGTATCGAAGTCAGTTGTGAACAAGTACAGCGACAGGCAAGGGCACTGCAGATGGTAAAAGGTCAAGAAGATAAGTTAAACTTCATCTGCGACTTATATTGGAAACTAGCTGACCGACTAGAAGACGGAGTCTCAAAGGACTGGTAGAAACGATAGAAAAGATATTACTCTAGATGTACTCAGTTTCTGTACCTCCTTATTCTGCCAAAGTGCCTTTAATGCAGGATAACGTGATAATCTATCACAACTTGATGATCCATATTTAGGTAAAAACATTGCAAACGATGTCAACTTATGGGCTGAAATTCCCCTTAAAGGTCAATGATCTTTGTTACAGCAGCCGATTTGGACCTGATTCTACCACAAATAAAAGAATATCAATGCAGTTACAACGAAACCAGGTTTCTTACGCTTCAAGATTTCGAAATTCCTCGCATTAAACTCGTCAAATACCATCAGTAAGCAATCGAAAGGTGTCCGTAAGTCACGATGGAGAAACAGTAGTTCGCTAGGAAGGATGATATGGACCATGAAATCGATATTAAAGGGAAATTGTACAGGAAAACTGAGAAACAAACAAATAAAGCCATAGAATTGAGAGAAAGGATGAAACCTAGCATCATAACAACTTTGAGCACGTGCCGAGGGCTCAGAGGTTCAAATGAATAGGAAATTTGACATACTAGGTGGTCGCAAAGGCAAGATCTCCACCGCCCCTAAAGTGTAAGCACACAATTTTTACCAATTTTCTGAATTATTCAAGCACCAAAGCCTATCACTCGATGATGTAATAAAAGCTCGTGAAGATGTTAAAAGGGAGAGCCGCAATGCAGGTACAGAGGAAATTACCTGGCGCGGGCGATCAATCTGTTTAAATCAGTGTCATCAACGCCAGAAAATGGTTTCTGAAAACGAAGTAGCCGCAACGCCCCAAAGTTTGAGCCTCATGAAAGATGCCCAGACTTTCAAATGGCCCCCATGCTTATATAGTATGCCATGATGAACATACCGATCTCGTCAGATGAATGCGAGACTTCTCGAACCACCATAATTGCCCGGGTACCGGCCTTGCAAGGTGACTCTATGAGAGGCATTGGTTTTCTTCCTGGAACAGAAGCATAATTACACTGCGAAAGGCATCTCTTCAAAATACAAATTGCTTCGAACAATTGAAGGGCATGGGACAGTGGAAAGCCTTTTGCAGGGCGAGTGCTGACATTGTTCAACCCTACTCAAGATGCGTCGGCGGTCAGCTGTTAGCAGTGTGCCAGCATCTGGGTAAATCGTACATATATAGTACAACTGCGGCAAGAGAACAAAGCTTGTAGGAAGGGCGAGAGAACTAAAATTGACACCGAACAGAAAAGCAAGATGATAATTGATATACAAAATTGATGCCCTCCACTAGAAATGCCTAACTCCTGTCGCTCTTTCGATTGTGTTCCGCCAATGATTATCAGTATTGCAATGCCTATAAATATGAAACTTCGCTACTCCACTGCCCCTCAGATGATGACCAAGGCTCTTGGTCATACTGCCGCATAACCTCCTCTACTTCCACCACCTTGTACGGTACTCAAAACTCTTCTGGACCAGTCCTTCAATAAATATGGAACGTCACGGATCGTATCTCCATGAGGGAGAAGGTCCCATCCACGAGCGCCATATCTATTATAGTTGAGCCAAGATCCGAAAATCAAGTATGCGGCTGTTGAAAGAAATGCACTGTCAAAAAGTTGTTAGCTACGTTCACTACCTTCCTGCCTGAGATGTAAAATAAACGACCAGGGGATGGAAAAACATACACAATAATGAACCAAGTAAAAAAGCCCCAATGCGAACTTTTCTTGTCATCGCCATCATCCTTCGGTCCATCCTCACAAGCATACTTTGTGCGCCAAGTCAACCTTAGGATATCTGCATCGCCTTTATCTTTGTCCAACCTAACGAACTGAAGACTTGAATCGTTGCCTGGCGCTCCTATCACTCCATCACCATTCCCTTCTTCCTCCCTCTTATTGTTCTTTTCCTCATCCTTCTGCTTGTTTTTCGGCTCTGGTGGTACCCACAGATTCTCCAGTCCAGTTCGGTTCGCATCGCAAATAAACTCCACGATAGCTTTCTGTGGTCTCTTATCTTTCCCTTGTCTGATAAAGCCTCCGTTTAGCTCTACACGTAATCCTTCTTTGTCGGCGTCTGAATGAGATTTAGAGTTACTAAGTCGTTCCACTTTAGCGTCGAGAGGACCTCCACCGTAATTCTGTAATTCGCCTGCAAATGGAACAATTTGTTGTGTTGCGTCTGATCCTTCCTCTTCATTGATGACATGTGTTATGCCACAAACTGTTCCATCCAGGATGTTAGTGAATCAAGACCCTCTGAGTAACACACGATGCATTGGCTCGTGGCCAAAGTTTAACAAGACCTAGAATAAGGAGAGACATTACCTCTTGTCCCACCTGGACACTCATAGAACCCCTTCTTGACTATAGGGTTACAAAGGTCGATTGTGTATGTTGTATTTGTCCATCCTTTGGCTTCACCAACATAATCTTCAACACTGTGTAGTGCCGACCGTGGTCCACCTAATGCTTCCAAATTGAACGACTTTTTGTCGACAACTATGTTCGTACAATCCAAATTTCCAAGAGCGGAAGAAAGGAGTGGAAATAGTAGACCTGATAGAAATACGGTTTCGGTTGGGAGGTTGTGAAGACGCATGATGGTTTGTCAGAATACCGTGGAATACACGGAAAACGGTAGACGGACAATAGTCTCAAGTATTTTCTTTTATCAAACACGCCTGTGATATGTGTCGGATTGAAAGATACTGATTCTTTATATTGAGATGTATCGAAGGCGAGATGTCAATAAGTAAGACAGTACAGTAGGTATTCGTTGTAGGTTTACTTTGCTTACGAAGTTTGTGATGCAATTATTGAAGCTCGTAGAGTAATTATCCAGACACGCCGGAAACTGTGAGATGAAAGATGACGGTGATTACCTAAGCTGTTTGTTTTATCAAACAAATCACATGATGTTTGCGGCAAGATTTGGTTTCGAGATCGCTTTCAACTCAGCTCGTGCTCTTTGATTTCTGTGATTTTGATTATATTCATGCTTCATTTTACTCACCTGGCATCTCTTTCCACAGTCTTGACCCTCAAAGTCTATGATCACTATGAGATCGATCAGATAGAACTAATTCATGTCACTCCTTCGTATTGCCTACCAATTGCTCAATATATTGACTGAAGAAATGGTTCTTTCACAATTATTCTGCCTCCACGGCAACAGTCTCTGGGAAGCCCGCGAAGTGTCAAATATTGATGAAGCTGTATCATAGGTTCAAAAACACACCCCATCTGTTTTCTCCGGTAAGATCAGTCTGGAAAATGTGGTAGGCCCTACCAGATTTCGGAACTTTTGCAGGCTATCGTAGGTCAATCAATTCTCCCCCATATACTACCGCGTAGTCAATAGTGTCATCTTCGATACCACCGCCGAAAACTTCAAAAGGGATAGTTTTTACTATCAAGCTACCGATGTCACTGGGGAAGAGTAAAAATTTCAACATACATACTTTTACCTTACCGCCCATACCCAGGGCAGAAAAGGAAGCTTTTTTTTTATTTTTTTTATAGAAGATTTCTGGACGTGTTGTCCTTGAACGATGTCTTGAACGGAAATTGAAGAATTGAGAGAAAACAGTAACCTATGCCAACGATAAAACGCCCTCCAACAGGTATCAATCCTTCAATCAGGGAAGTTTTTGGTTGAAAGACTCGAGCATGTCAATATCGAATCAAGATTCCAGCGGTCAAATATATGTTGGTGGCCTCCTTCCATTTGATAAGTCACATACTCAGTACATCACGAACCGAGCCAGCCACGTTTCTGCATGCAAACCAGTAGAAATGTTCCTTGGTAAGAATTTGAAACGCCAGCAAAACTTTTCGACATTACTCAAACTTGCTAGATGTGGTAAGAAAACTTCTTGCTGGAGAAGACATACCTTAGTATGTAAAAGCATGTGGTAAGTCACTTATCTATCATATATGATGAGCACGATAATTTTCACAATATTACTTAGGCACCTTGCACTGCTATCTTGTTAGTTGGTCGGTGAACTAAATTGTTCTAAGCCGACAAGAAGCGATTTTACGAACTGAAGATCACGGCGGTCCAGATCTCTGCCACGAATCAGAAAAGAGCAGGATGGTTGGAAAAGCATGACTTTGGCGTGTTTGACTATCAGCGTGGAGCGAATTGCGGCTTCGGTCGAATTATGGATCATATCTTTTCGGGTCCAATCCCGCTGGGAACCGCCCCAAAAATACCGCCCAGAGGCAGAGTGGAGCCAAAGAACAATTGTTGGTATTCTAGGTTGGACCTACCGAATGTGATGCGACTAGTGTCAGCCCTTTTTCTCCACTATGTTTTGGGCTTGTTGGAGCGTGGTTGAACTTGTGAATCGTTCTCCTTGCTCCACTGCATAACTGCATAACTGCTTCGTTGGTGAAATTGATCGGTTTAAGATGAATCTCGGTAGGGCAGATAGCTTCTGTGGAGTAGACGGCCGGTAGTGACCTGTGGAGGTAGTATTTATGTATCCTTTGTCCCTACACATCCATTCCTTTCGTTTCTTTCCTTTGTATCATTTAATTCCGTAGTTTCGTCAGCATACTTAGTTGTTAGCAGAGTAAATCACTCATCCGGAGCGCGCTGCGCTGTCTTGCTTTTCCTGATCTACTCTGTCCCTCTTGTCATAGATAAATCAACCAAACCCCTCTCGCAACTAACCATATCCGTCAAGACGTCAAGAAACAGACGAAGCCATGGTTGTACATACTTTCACCCCGCATATCGCGAAGTTTGCCAGGTTCTCTCTTGGAAGGTTCACAAACCGCTGGGCTAATGAGGAAGAATTGAAGTTAGTATCATACCCCCCCAATGCCCCTCTGGTTCCTCACACTCGAACATGAATTGAGCTAGAAGTAGAAAGAAGAACAAGTTGAACTGACCAGGTATTTTTACAGTAAACCTGCGATTTTGAAAGAGAACAAGATACCCAAGAATGTACCGGCCCAATGGAATGTTCTTAGATGGCAATATCAGAGCGAGTTGTTGATCGAGATTAAGAATAAAGATATGGAAAAGACAAGACAACAGCAAGCACAAGACGACGTGACGTTAGGGATGGCGGACACAACCGCGAAGATGAAGGGATTAATGGGCGACAATCACCTCTGGATGTGTGCGGTTTGAAGTGCTAGAATTCGTCTGGGGAAAAATCGACTGGATTGTTATCGACATATGTTACACAGATAAAAGGGTCTGTCTTCTACTTGACGATCGAAATGCATTGCATGGCGTTTTATTGCGGATTGGAGGCTTTGTATGATACCAATGACTTGAGGAAATCTCGAGTACTCGTCGGATAGCATCGGGAGACAAAAGGAAAAGGGGCATAAACATAGGCTGCTGGCAGCTTACTTGATTCTGAAAGATGATTTTTCGATAACGATATAATATACAAATTGTCCTACACACAGAGAGAGTTTGTGGACTACACTTTGTCAAAATTCCTCCTGCTCCAATCACCAATCGCTGCAATGATAGCCGTAAACTCCAGATCCAACACCAAGGGAGTGACAATGCTGTATAAATGCCCATCGTATCACCTTGACGCAACCATAAATAATTTAAAATTCGACTCGACCTCTTCGTAAATGAGGGAACCGGGATTCTCCTAATTCGTCTAACGATCCGTGGCTCCCAGTCCAGAGATGTTCCTTTCTCTCGAAATTGACTCGTTTCTTATAGAATCACCGAGACCATCACGTCCATATTGCGATCCAGTTTTCTTCATGAGCGTGCTGATGAGTCACTTGACGGCCTTATTTCTATTTCCCGTGGTATTGTAGCACGCAGATTTTGTAATTTGTCTGCATTTCCGTTCGTATGTGTGAATTGATCCACATGATACGTCTGGGGTTTATTATATCGATCGTCTACGGCTTTCATATCTTGATAACATCTGTGCAATTCATTCGATTGACCTCGAAGCTCTTTGGCGTGAGCTCGACGTTCTTTGAGTCTGAGATTTAAATTAGCCATGACATTCTCCTACGTGGAACAATTGACTGAATGGAAGAAAACTTTTATATATGGGCTATGATGAAAGAATATTCGTATACTTACTTTTTAAGACCAGGTACAATAGTAGGCATTACCGATTGATTATCAGTTAAATATTCCGAGACTGGAAAAAAATACTAGGTAGCTCTTCCTACGTTAAGGCTGTGAAGTCCTCACAATGGTGTGGGGTTTTGTGGATATGGAAATGAGAGGAAGGTATTAATGTGAAGAGGAGAAAATTACTATCTGATTTTGTAAACCACACGAACGAGTACTTCACTTGGGTATAAATATCTACTCGAGTACCGCATCTTTCAATACAAGTCAACGTCATTTAAAAAGATTCCAGGTCCCCGATTTTGCGGCAGTCGAAACTTTACTTGCCATATTCCCACTTCTCCATCCAATGATCATTTGACAAAATGAATAAGTTGTCGGGGTTTGTTCGGATACTATGATCACTGCCTCTTTGGTCTATCAAACTTAACTAGATCGATATGAGTAATGTCGAGACAGTGAAGGATAGTTTGAATGTTGCAATCTGGAACCCGGTGGACGGAGGCGACGAACAATCTGGGCAAAACTTTTGGCTCCGGCACTTGAATGAAGATAATGTATCTCCGGATGCACACAGGCTGTTAGGATTCTCAAGCTGTGCAATGATCTTAGGAGGTATAATAGCGTACCAAGTGGCTCTATTGTGACACTAGTTCGAGTTCTCTAGAGTAGGAATTTATTTTTAGTGTGAGATGGGACGAGAGGACTAGGTATGGGTATTTGATATCTGAAGTAAGGAAAGAGGTGACTATTGAAAAGTCATCACATATTTCAAATGCATGAGGATTGCCTAGACGTTTTATGCTAGTATTCAACATTCTGAACCTAATCCCAACGCACAAACTGTGAAACCTATTCGACGTGCGTTCCTGAACTCGGTTATATTGGAATCGTGGGTTCGGTTCGGTTGAGGAGAAGTGTAAAAGGAGGCATGATTACTTGTAGTTCTTTTGAAGATTAAGCTTGTTGCAATTCAAACGATTTATTGTTGATCATCTGATGGCATGTGTAAAGTGCCAATATTTATTATGCTTAGGAGTTAGGTTAGATAGTCTCATCTTGATGGAGGCAGTGAGAGGCTTCATTGAAAGCTCGCGTATCGGATTATTGAAATTCTGAAATCTTGTTTCCTGACGGGATTGAAAAGCATCTTTTTGGGACAAACAGCTAGTTTTCAAAAAACTAAAATAATGCTGGACTTCTCAAGTTCGAATTAAAATTCTGGGTTTGATCGGGATGACCCCTTTTAAAGACCTCCAACTAAAAAATCAAAATAGTGAATAGAGATTTGTGGCAATGCGAGATGCTCAGAAGGACCTCGGGATGGAAGGGAAAATGAAAAACAGACACGTGATACATTCAATGTGGCTTGACAGGAACGGGGGCGGTGTCCATAAATAGTAAGCGGTGTGAAGATAAATTACGCAAAATAACCTTACATGTCTCGAGCATGTGCATTTGTTCATTGGTTTGCTAGAGCCTCGCTTTGAATCAATGACTTCGTAATTCAACATTGATGACAACCTTGCCGATTTGTTAATAATGCCTCCGTCCCATACTCCTACTGTCAATTATCAAGAGCATTTTGGAATTGATAATAATACTAGGAGAAGACCTACGACCAACCCATTTGATCAACATAATGTTATTACTCCCACTCAGGGTATGTTATCATTAGGTGGAGATACACAAGATGATTTCGATTCAACCACAGGCACAGAGGATCTAAGTGAAGGAGAAGATGAAGGCGAAGACGAATCTGAAGGTGATCCTGGCATCGAAGATTTAGAAAACCTGGACGAGGATATAGGTTTGGAAGATGTTGCAGTTGAAGGTTCGCTTTAATAATTTTATTTTTCCCGCTTTCCCCTTTCCGCACACATTTCCAACACAATGAGAGGAAAGAGTAAACGCACTCGCAACCGAAGTCGTAGCTACAATCAGAACCAGAACCTCTTGTACTTGAAGATATCAGCTCTCACTTCGCACTCTTTCACCTCCAACCGGTCAAACTGCACCAGTACATCTCACAGCATAACATTTCGATTGTATTTTGATTCCCGCTCCGAATATCAATGCACAACTTCACCACCCATTATGTGTAATCGATCTAACTTATCACCTCATCTAGCTACCATGGATAATACACCATTATTCGACCCTGCCGCTCTCGGGCTGAAAGAAATCGGAAACTTAGCTAGCTGGACTGTTTCTAGTAGTAAACCTGGTTGTGGAGTTCTTGCACTCCGGGACGATGACACAAATTTGTTCTGGCAGTAAGGAATTGCATACTTTCGCGTCTCTACTTCTCCTCGCTACTCGGTAATATACTTGCACATTTACTGACATATCCCACCTACAGATCCGATGGACCCCAGCCTCATTACCTTAACATTCATTTTGCCAAATTCGCAAAGATTCGAGCCATTCGAATATTCCTTGATTTCGAAGCCGATGAATCTTACACTCCAACACGTATCCAATTGCTTGGAGGCACAGGCTACCACGATCTAATTCCGTTTTCTGAACTCTCGTTTGTTCAACCGAAAGGTTGGATTGATGTCAACCTTGATCACGTAGGAGGAGGTTCAGATGGAAAAACACTACGTGCATTCATTATACAAGTAAAGGTGTTGGAGAACCACCAGAATGGCAAGGATACACATGTTCGTGGACTGAAGATATATTCTCACGACGAACGTCATGAATCTCCTCCGCCATCATATCTCGACGAGGAGGAGGATGACACATGCTCTTCGATCGATCCGAACGAATTTGGAGGGCCTGACGATGATTTGAAGCGCGGAGATGTAAGTAATGACGATCAATTCTGGAAGGATTTTACGCAGGCCAGAATGGGTGGACACAAGATGCCGGACCTAAGTGGTTTGAGTGAGCCTGGGTTCATGTCTGAGCCAGAACTGCGTTGATTATACTGCGATCACTTGGTCGATGCTATATAACGATTGGTGGTAGTCACATTGGGAGTTATTGGGAGTCATCAAGATACCCTGGGTTTGTATGACAATACTGAACTTGTAGCTTCATGATGAGAAGAGTGCAGCTCCTTCCCTTATATTCTCAGTCCTGCCCAAAAATAAGACGAACACTTCTCCAAAGGTAAAGGATCTTCATGGCTCAGAGGCAAGTGCCATCTGCGAAACTGCACCGTATCTTTTCAAAAGCAATTCCGTATCTCCTTTTGTAGTTACCCATGGTTCTTGAAATTTTGAAAGTAATATTTCGTCGTATTACATTTGATTTGATGGAGAAAACTATTCACCAGACCATATCGATCAAAATTTTACTGTTCTGGCCTCATGCTTTCATTCCAGTGTTTCATTCGACTAAAGATTCGTCCCGCCTGTCCCACACGTATCCAATTATCTTGAACTTTTATCTATACCACTCAATAGGAGTACTGTTGAAGTTGCGTTCCATTGGATCTTAGCAATCAATGTTAAACCGCCATGTCTGTATTATCAGTCCAACAATAAGAAACTTCAAAAACGCAGAAAATTTATCACCGTCTTCTGACCACTTTCAATATTTTCTCGGGGTCAGTCTCGGGTCGGGCGATGATATTATTTTCTAGCACTTGCCGTCATTTGCTAGCAGTGGTCGGAGCGGTAAGTCCCTCAAGGATGTAGAACTTCCAAGCCACGGCGGCCATCACAATTCGACTTGCACCTTGGCACAAGAGTTTCCTAGAAATGACCTTGCTTTCATTTGACAACAACAAACCCATGAAAATTCTTCGATTAATTTCCTACATCCATATCTGAAGATATTGACAATAGTTATGCGATCGGGTTAATCGATACAGAAGAACATCTGCACAAGTGCGTACATCCTGCGATCTGGTTAATTGTTTTATAGCTTTGTTCTTTCTGCTTTCACGGCGGACAGCCATCTTTGGTTTCGTGTGACTGACTAAACGTCATTTCACGCTCATTCGTGTAGATTTAAAAAGCAAGCGTTGTACCGATTTCGTCTTTGGCAGTCCCGATAGGGAACGGCAAAAGCTAGCCAGTAAGATTAAGTGAAGGCGCGTGGCCATCAAAGAGAGTAGCGAATTACAGAAGAATGATGATCGATCAATTTCAACCTAGTAGTAGAATAAACTTAGAACTTTGGAACGATCGTACCTGAAATTCCATCGAATTGTCGAGTTCAGTCATATATTTAAACAACGTGTCTAGTTTTATTGTGCCCAACCTTTGCCGTTAGCATTGTTTTCCAAGTCATGGATTGCAATCTGATGTAAGAATCCATGTCCAAGATTTTGAAAATACTATCGGCTTCAAACTTTTGGTTTAAACCAATCCCGTAGTCTTATTTTCTTGCTTGAAAAGGAAATGAATACCCCAGACTATTTCATTGATGGATTACCAAGAAGCTATTGTTCAACCCCTGATCATGAAAGAGAGTCGAGAAAAATACATCCCAGAGAAAAACGCTTCCACGCGAAAGATACTTGGCAGATTTGTGTGGGAGAATGGTATTTCTGTCAAAGGAACTCCTCATAAAGTAACATTTTGATCAGAAACTGTGACTCAAGCATCACAGCTACCAAAGGTTGACTTCGCCCAATACTGATTGTAAGCTTTTTGCAACAGCCATATACCAGTGTAATTTCATCGGGATCCAACATGAGAAGTTTTTGTTTCGTTCCTTGAAGAATAGATGAAAAAGAAAAATATTTTCTTTATTACTTGATTAAAAGCACAACAGAATTCAAGGCTATAGGAACTGAGTTATATTTTTCGCAAATATAACTTCCCGCACCTACTTAAAAAGCTTGCCAAGGAATATAAAACCCTAAGGCTACTATTGGTATATATATCTAACAATTAAACCCCTAATCCTCGCTTCTCTGCACATATTCACATCGTCTCATGTTAGTTGCTTCGGAATGTCTACTCCCACCTACTTTAACAAATATCCCCCATTTCCCTCCAATATCCCAGTGGCAGATTTGCTCATTTTATCCTTCGCTAAGCTTGCAGCCAATGATGGACACGAGTCCCGTGCTCTTTTCGAAGCCAGTCGTCATATAGGCTTGTAAGTAATAGCAAATCCTTCTTTCCAGTCCTCCGAATATCTTTCAACTTGTCCCCACGAAAAGTCTTTGCAATCAAATGCATTATATGATTTGGTAAGAAATTCAAATTATATTGTCTGATTGCACTCAAGTTGATTGCACGCATTGATTATTTGGTCTATCTATCAAATTTTCATTACCTCTTATCGAACAACGTTTGTGCTTTTCCTAAAAAGAGTTATTCGCGACAAATTACTAATTCTCAATGCCTTAGCTTCCAGCTTGATTTTACTGGGTGTTTGTTTGGTGATCAATTTCTCAAGGATACCGAGAAAACGTTCGACTTGAATGCAGAATTATATGCACTCTCTAAGTTGGAGCTTGATGAATATGCCTACAATCCTCCAATTTCTCTATTTCGGTACCTCTGCCTTCATAATTAATCACTTCTTATTCAAAGTTTGCACGGTCTTTCAGCCCTACGGAAGTCTCGACTAATTTGGTCTTTTATCATGTTTAGCTACAAGCCCTTGGGTTATCACAAGATTGGCAAAGTCGGAGATCGAGTCGAGCTCTACGGAATCAGTCACGATGACATAACTGGAGCTTCTGAGCCCCTTGCCAACCCGGGCTGTATCGAACGTTGTCGCCCGCAATTAAAGACATATATTGAACAGGCCAACGAGATTGTAAATATCATTCTCGGACATTTGGAAAAACATCTGAAGCTTCCACTGGGTACTTTCGCACAGTTACATTCGATGACGAAGCCAAGCGGCAGTGTTTTACGCATGCTGAAGTATGAGCCTCAGGTAAGTTCGAAATCTCCTATGTCTCCATTATTCCACGTGTATCATCCTGGAATCGTATCTCGAAACGATGCTAATCATCGATAGCCAGCCGATGATCGCCGTACTGCCATGATGGGATATACCGATATCACTGCACTAACCCTTCTTTTTAGTGCAACTGGAGGTCTCCAGATTCTTGACGATGACGCGGGTGCGTAACTCCAAATCAAAATTTCAAAGTTTCGCTTTAATAATTAGTCAATTCTCATCATTCAGATCCTCATCTTGAGTCTTCTTGGACTCATATTAAACCTCGGCCATCAACCTGTATAGTCAACCTTGGCGATGCAATGGTTGAATGGACTGGTGGGATTCTTCGCTCAGCTATGCATCGTGTCACCTCTCCCCCAGGCGATCAGTCATCTATGACCCGCTATGTAGTTGGTTACTTTTCCCGCCCTGCTGGTGATTCCCTCATGAAACGACTAGCACCTCCCGAGTATCCTTCTTCCCTCATACCACCAGTCGAGGAGGGAGAGAACTCTGAAAATGACATGAATGCGAGAGATTGGGAGTGGCATAAACTTTCCTCAGTTAAGGCAGGTAATATAGGGGGAAGCTTGGGCGGTAAACCATTTGAGCCCCAGAAAGATCTAAAAGAATTGTTCCCCGCTATTGTTGATGCCATTTGAAGTATTGGTTTTTTTTTGGAAATTGGAAGGATTTGTATCCAATTTTGAAATCATCAATGAGCACAGAGGTTTTTTTTCATCTGTTACTTGTCTCTGTCTCCATGTTACCGCTCAGCAGCCGAAAATTTTGTGTACGTATCTTTGATTTCTGGATTGATCAGAAGCAGTCGAACTCGTTCTTATTATTGCTGACATGAGTACTCTTTTCGACTCAATCTTACGTGAAATTCGCGAAAAGGGTCAGCGATACTGCTTTTGTAGTAAAGCCAAATGTTCTAAACAATGTTGAGTCGTTGACTTTCTAAGTCTTAATGGCACATATGTGATTGATCAACCCAAAGGTAAGCCACTCAAATCTTCCTGATCAAAAGTGCACCATTCATCCACAAGGCATCTCCTTACCCAACAACAATTATCCCAGCATTGAAAAAATCAAGAGATCTTCTTTGCTCAGCCCAGAAAGGTACCTCTCTTCGATATGAAGCCATTCAGATTATCTCTTCTCTTCTCTCCGCCGAATTTTCCGTCTCGCTTTCTCCTTGTGTCAGGAGATTTCGGTACCACTGTTCCAACGACTAAAATTAGTGTCATAGTTGGGCTATTCAAATAAAGCACCGTATCAAATCAACAGAGGATATACTGGAGGACTCCTGGTTGAACCTCGGATAATACTTCGTCATTCAATATGACTTTAAAAAGCACTTCCTACTACTGATTACGCACTCTAGATAATTTATGAGGCACTTTTATGACGAGGGTTTCCTTGAAAGCAGTTGAAAACATGCTGCGGAATTGAGTTCGATTTCTGTTCAACGCTTTATGCAGTCCAATTGGTCTCAAACACGATGAGGTATCATAGATGAACCTTGATGTCAATAAGTTGCTTCGGCTAGCCCGTAATATTTACGCGTAATAGCATACGAATGTCGCTAGACTGCCATTCAACCTAGGCCACACAAGCATGAATGGGTTGTTACACCCGTTTATCACCTAGGATTGATGTAATGTCAAATCAATATCTTTGAATCTTGAAATAATAATCAATAGCTCAGACCATGAGGATCTAGAAATCTGAAACCGGGAAGAAACTTCTGGACAATTTTTGCAAAAGCAAACTACTCAACGACTCTCTAGGCTTATCTAAGTGCAACTTTGGACATCCTAGGGCAATCATTAGCTTATGGAAATGCTTCACGAATGCTGAATTGAGCGTCGGAGTTTGTGAACAGAATGTGTGATCAAAGGGAGTACGCTTGAGCTTGAAATGAACTCAAGTCAAATATTCGTTTCTTGTGCCCACAACAGACAATTCTACTTTCTGAACCTGCAGATCCGGCACCATAGCTGTGATTTGATGCTTATATGCTTCTACAACTGGTCAAATTCTGAACAAAAGTATTGGGAAGAACAGAGACTACTCACTGTTGAGGATGTCAAGCAAATCTAAACATATAAGAGCGAGCAAACCAAGTGGCAAAATTTGCCCAAAACCCCAAGTGTCTTCATCTCCGATTATCAAGCTTCGATTAGACAATTTTGTGTCAATAACGTCGAAAGTATTCCATGCTGTTAGCCCAATATAACTGTCGGGACATCGATCATGTGGTCAAAAAGGGCACTGTATTAGCTAGCGTCGCGCTAGCGCTTCCCTATATTAAGTACTAGCTTCCCATAGATAATAATGATCAAAAACAATACAACCACCATAGAACTAAATACTTACACTTATCAACCAAGTTGATACCAACAATAACCAATAACTATCAGTACCGACCCGTTGTCTCCCCAAGCCCATAGTGCCAGAATCCGCCAAAGTATATGCCAGACCATGTAGCTTATAGTTTCTACAACTTGTAATTAGATACACAAGAGTATTGGCCAACGATAGGTGCGCAATTTCACCGCCGACCAAAAATCCAAAGCGCGTTGCTGGCCTCCATTCGATACATCATTCGAGGTATCTGCGATGAAGTTTACTAAGCCTTTCAACCATTGCCACTTGTGAGATAAGGACTCTACAAGTTGTTGCACGGAATACAATAACATATACACAACTTCGAAAGAAATTCCCACAATCCAGAAATACTGCGCATTAGTTGGTGATGGTTCGTGGGAAAGATAACAACGACCACTTTCTTCAGAGTCCCAGTGGTTTTCGGCCTCCAGTGTGGTAACTATTTGGTAGTAAATTGAAAGCAGATCACTAAAAAGTACGAAGACCCAGCGCGTCCAGAAATAAAAGCTCTTGTCACGACCATAGTGTTCCGAGTTGAGGTATCCAGCTCTAGCTGCCCAAAATGAATTCAGTGTGAGCAGCCAATAGCTTGTAATGAGAGATTGGTGATAGAATGACATGTGGTGAAACTCAGCTATACCTACAATGATTATAGCGGTTCTTGTGACAAGCTGAAGATCACACAACCGATTTAAAGCCATTTGAGAGAATAACTGAAGTCGCGGTTGAGAATTGCGAAAGAGGCTTAGAAACATAGCTAACGAACATCGTATGGCATAGAGGCTGAGATGAAGGCCTTTAATCATGAGTCTTGGGATATTCCGTTCGATAGATGATGGGATGGAAAGTCTCGCTAGCCTGATTGTGTATTTGCCAATATGTTCAGCCGTGGTTCCCGACACAGAAGAAAGAAGTTTGAGACGGAATCGAGATGACACGACACAATATAATTGGATACATGCCACAAAATAGGTGACCCACGCGGTGACCAAGAAACTTGTCATAACCTGTGAAACTCGTCAGGAAGAAAAAATGTCATGGAAATTCATTGGGCTACTTACCCCAGGACCTGCGATGTCCGGATCCGCATCGAAAGAGGCGACACATACCCACTGATCACGAAGTCTGCTAACCATGATGCTTTATATTGAGAAAGATATAGAGATTCATGTTGAGTGTTGTTTCGAATGAACCATTGAGGCTAGTGGGTCATTAACAACATCCACTGGAATGTACCAAGCCACACAACGAATTAAGATGAAAGAAAGGTAAGATCTTACTTTTGTGAAAAAGCTGTACCATGCATGGCTGAAGTGCCATTTAGAAAAATCATTCTGATCAACTTTAATATTATTGTATTTCTTGACTTGTGTATCTTGAACTAGAAATTCGATCCTGGAGACGCCCCAAGATGTTCATAGAAAAGACTGAAAGCGCGAGTGAAATTGCGCCGCCTGGAGTTGGGGATATGAGCCGAGCGGGAATCATCGGCAAAGATCGTGATCATTCCATCCCGCAGCAGAAAAGCCCATCTCTGAATTGTTGATCAGATATTGTGTCAAGGCTCTGGAGCTCGAGCGTAGTATACAAGATTCATTTCAAGTGATTTATGCGTACTTTCGGTTGCGCAGATGTTCAACGGTATCAACAGTTCGTAGTATCGAAGATTAATAAATGCTCCAATTAGCCAGATATATATTACTCGTGCAACGTGTTTTTAATGTGACAGAAGTAAAGATTGAGAACAGGGATGGTTGGATCTACCAACCTGCTGAAAGAATTAAATGCGAAGATCCTAATGACACTGCAAATAAGAGAGATGAACAAGTTGTTGGAAAAATGCTCTATGATGGTATCCAGAAAGAATTCAAATACATAGTGTGGTAACGCCGTATGTTATAGATTTTTTTCACGTTCAAGTTCAAAGTAGCTGTCATATGTACTCATTAGGATCGTTCATCAAGCCATTTCTCATGCCAAAACTCCCCAGAATAGACATCAGATTTTTTACTCTTAAACTTTCTCCGTGATCTCCGCATTTGGGCGATGCTCTTTCATCAATTTGTCTCTTTGCAACTGCTCCAACTCTTTAATCTTTCGTTCTTTAAGCTCCTGACAGAATACGCTTCTTTCCCTGATACGATCGCCCTTCCATGTAAATAATACCGGAATACCGCACATTAATAGGCTCAGGAATGCAAGCAGGCTGCTTGCCCATGGCACACCCAGTTTTGTATACATGGGCTTCGCTGCAAACGGCAACACCGCTCCAGCTAAGCTTCTACAGCAGCTCGATGCAGCCATGGCGCTCGCGGCGAAGACCTCATAAGCATCCGTCAAGTAGTTGAGTAGAGCAATGAAAATCAATATAAAACCCATTCCAAATGGTATGCCGGCCAACATTGGAACGTAGAAAGGAATAGAGGCGCGGGATGTCCAGCCTAACCAGAAAAGCGAGATAACGTAGAGTGGCCCCCCCAAAATCGCAAGTGGTAGCCGCCGAGATTCTTCTTTTTGCGCCCAGGCTTTCTTAGATACTTGAGCTTTGCGCAAAAATGTATCCCACCAGAGAAATACGATGATAGCTAAAATCGCACCACCACCAATGGGCAGGAACATAAGCCCGGACACGCCAGACGATTGACCATATATTCCTTCGAATATAATTGGATAAGCTTCAAAGTACATATAGAATATTCCATATGCCAGCGCGAGGTAGGTGCAAGCGGCTAAGACGATGAGCTCGAAGAAAAGCATGCGAATAGGTCGAGTGAGTGTCACAGTCATCATTTGTTTTAGGTCTTGCTTTTCCAATTCGATCGGCGCGATTATTTTGGGATCGCCTGTTTCTTTTCGCAACTGTTTTGCGCGTTTGAGAAGTAGAACTGGGCCGTAGGTTTCTGGAAGAAATACAAGAGGGACCCAAGATGCACCAGCAACAATCAAGCCAATCCAGAAAGTCCAACGCCAGCCAAGAACAGGAGATATAAAGCCCGAAATTATTGGAGCCACTAGAGGACCTACACAAGTGCCTGCAGTGAAAACCGCCATGGCTCTCCCTCTTGTTACTGGATCCTTGTATATATCTGCATAGATACCTCCACTGACGGATATAGGACTACTTGCATTGATACCTGCCAGAATACGAAATGCTAAGAGTCCACCCCACGTTGGTGTTAAGGCACAACCTAATGTAAAGGCAGTATAGCAGAAAAAGGTTGCCAGCATGATCGTTCTTCGTCCGAATTGTTCTGATAGTGGACAAAATACTAAAGGCCCAAGCACATATCCAAGGAGATACATCGATATTGGTAAGATTTCCGCAGATTCTGATGTTATGTGGAAGTGCGGAGCGATGAATGGAATCGCGTTCGAAGGCAGAGAAGAACCCATGGTACTGTTGATCACAACAAGCATTCCAACAAGAACAATATAACATTTCCACCCCTACAATTTTGAATTAGTCGAATCCTTTATTATGATCTACTGAATACCCATTGACTTTCCCCAGCGAAAGATATGACGTACGGAAGACCAATTATATGGATTATCTGGATCGTCCTCTTCCCAATGTATTACATTTTTGCGCGTGCCCAAGACGCTGGATGCAGATGAATGTGGAAGAGACACATGATTGTCCCTCGCCTCAAGATCATACCGTCTTTTCGCATCCTCATGATCAACTCCAGAGACCATTCGAGAAAGTCTACTTTGATGTCTTTCTATATTGCAATTAGTATATCAGGTGCTCTATCCAAGGAGCGATATACGTGCCGATTGATGTAAAGTCCACTCCTGAATTACTGGCAGCTGTCACATTGTCGCTGAGTCCTGGTGAGCTGATAGCATTTCCATGATATGCGCTGGACATCTTCACTTTCACGGTTACCCTTGTAAGGCTGGATCCCCCCTCACTTCTCTTTGCGATATCCTAGGCAACCTCAATGGAGTTGAAACTTCATGAATAGATTCAAAGTCCGTATAGAGCTGAGGAAGAAAGTGAAATAGGGCTTCAATAAAATAGAATAGTGGTGAAATGTACGCAGGAAAAGAAAGGAACTTAGCTTGTGACATAGTATTTACCTGGAGATAAGACTTCATTGGACATGCAATTTCGTATATGCCCATAATTACATGGACCGTTTGAAAAATAAATGGTCATTACTAGTTTGTAAGAGGACGAGGTCTTAATTTTCTAGTGGGAAGCTCTCTCCACTGTCAAACTTTGGTGCGGGTCCACAGCATGCTATCAAGTCTAAATTATTGGTTAAAGGAACAATGGTGCCGACTCAACCGTAGGAATGGCTGCCCTTTTCAGCAATGTTATGGCAAACGGCAGATCTCCAAGGGAATTCGTCAACTTGGTGTATTTGGTGAAAATGCTCCAGGTCTTATGTAAAGTCTTGCTCCCAGAAGAGGGAAGGAAGACCGAACAAGTGTAAATTCAATACTCCAGGACCGGAAGAACCAACCACAGCATCTGTTGTTTAATTAACGTACTGACTAGGATCATTCAGTGGATAAGGGTGGTTCTGCAAAAATGTGGAAGCTGGATCTTGTCGGTAGATGTTGTCGGATGAGCTGATCGAGTAGGAGTAGGAGTCTATGTGACATGGCATGTGCCACTCAACTCTGCCGAGCCATTTGTTGTCATTGGGTCACCGCGTGGAATATGTTATGGAGCTTGGATGGATCCTTTGGATGTTCCTATGAAGATTATTTCGATACTCTATGTTTCCAGATTGATACTTCGACCAAATCTAGCATATAATTCCACCTTCAGTTGTGTCATCTCCTCCCTAATTATGCTAAGCTTTTCTTCGACCATTGTTACTTCCTCCTCAATATTCTCAGTTGACTTCGTGAGGAGTTCTTGGACTTCGGGTAGTGGTAAGGAGATAAATGAATCTCCGATTTTGTAACTTGAAGATGTTAAGTCAGTATGCTTCGACGCATGGTGATTCTGTCAATAAGGGAGAAGATATTTCGTACGGTATCATGTCATCTTCATCTGCCAACTCAAGTTCCCCCGATACGTCGTCCAGGTCTTCCTTTTCTTTCTGTATAGCAAGAGGATTAGAAAAGCATTCATCGCAGATTAATTATCGTAGTATTTTAGTCGCGGTCGCACAAGACTCGATTTTACTGACATGTTTTGACTTCAACTCATCCTCCAGTCCAATTTCCCGTTGATGTAAACGACTGAACCGATTGATTTTGTCTTGATCTTCTCTTCGTACTTCGACCTCATCTGCGCCAACTGCTGCTTCATCTTCTTTTGATAACTGAGCTGTGAAGTTAGAAGATGTACTCAAGAAAACAATCTTCGAAGCGGAAATATTACCATACGGCGTTGCATGATTGCGGTTGTAATGTTGTGGAAAAATTCCCAGAGACACCTGCTGAGTCTATGAATTATCGATAGCTAGAGAAGGTTGTATCCAGGCGTGGGGTGGGGAAGGCTTGGGACTCTCACGGCCTCGAAAGCCTGCACATTAGAACCTTAAATCTCAGGTGTCAACTCCATGTTTTGATTTTACTGAAGAGACCTCAGGACCTCTTCATGTTAGCATTTTCAACAGCAATGTAATATATCTATGCTATTCACTTCATTTCCCGTCACATTTATTATTTCCTACATCACCTACTTCTATCACACCAAAACAACTTGTCCAGCTTCTATGACATATCTAACATCGTCCATGAAGCATGGGGACAATCCAGTAATAATAATAAAACATACCAAGTGGTATCGAAACATCTAATGCAAATGTCGGTTACCTGACTATAGATCAAGTACAAACTTCCCTTGATAATCGTTTCATATCTAGTCTCTTCACTTCATTCTTTTGTATCTGGGTTCCTGTCGTCGTTGCTTCACTTCTAGGACAGCTTTGCTCTGATGTCAGCTGATGTCTGTCTATTTGTTGCTCTTTCTCGCTTTTGTGGGCAGTAATTCAGCTCGAGATACACCAATCTTTTGTCAAGTACGATGTGGCTACATAGACCTGTTTCTGGTCAATTATAAATTGGCAATATAACAACCCAATTGTAAATTGGACGTCAATTGCGTGTTTATCTTAAGCGCTGCCTTGATCATCTTGCCCAATGTATTACCGAACATGACGCCCACAAGCATAAATTTATGATGGCATAATATGTATTGCGATATTGGATGATAGTCTGCCTTAGGGACAGGGGCGATTGAGCCACAATCCACCCCCGGGGAAGATGAGAAGAAACAACAAGTCTTAAACAAGTCTTGACAATCATATTGCTCTGTCGAACAGCTCCACCTTGGACCTCCTTCAATCTTTTAGGCAGTTGTTACTTCATCAAGCGGGTGATATAAGCAGTGCTATCTCTGAACATGGGGTTTTGCTTCATGTTAGGATGTCGAATGCTCACACGACAACCTACAAGCGTAAACATCTGCATGGTTGCCGGTGTTTTCAGCAATATGTTTCTCCAATGACATATCTGATTCAAAAGTCAACAATTGAGAGTATTCAAGAATTAGAATTGTGCGCAGTCCTTGAAACATTGTCTCAGATCTGTCGGTATCAACCTTCTAGGTATTCTTGTGAAAGGAGTGTCTCAAGTTTAGCTGATATTTGTAGCTGATGTCACACATCTGTCTTTGATCAGGGAAATTAAGGGTTGGTTCAGAATAACTCGAAATAATCTATTTTTCTCAAAATTGTATCATAACTTACTGTTTTATTGAAATATAATATCTTGTTACTTGCTGTTCTGCAAGAGTCTTTTCCATAACCGGAAGTGTCATCTATGTGATATAAAATCATACAAGATCCAAATATACCTTTACTTTTCTTTCCTGTTAATATTACTGCTTTTGAAATGACAAGACCGACATCTCGATTGTTCCAACAGGTGCGTATTAGGCCAGAGGCCGGGAGCCATCAAATTGTTCAAGAGTGCCGCATCGAAGAAAGTGCACATGTCCAAGAGCAGGAAAAATTTGAAGAGAGTTTACTGCAGAGATGTCCCGCCTATCTCTGGCCTGGGAACTCTTACCAAAAAGCGTGTCCCCGTCCCATTTTGATCAAAAATAAGCACCAAAAACAACTAGAGAACTTGCATGAGGCGTTGACCATAGCAATTACGGATATTGTCGAGAGATGGTGGACCGACAAAGATGCGCAATTCTATGATCGCATGCCTCTCGAACGACAAGAGGAAAGTCTTTTACGTGTGAGTTTGCCAGCCTACTAATGCCAGCCAATTGAGTTCCAGTTTCCCCTAGTATTGTGATGGCTAATGACTCTTCAATCAGTGGATGGAAGCTCAAGTGATCGACAAGAAACTCCCGATGTATCGCGAGTGTCGGGGTTCGTGGCGGCCAGACTTCCTTGTTGAAGACATGCTGGACGAGAATGGTGAAGCAGTGGAAAACTACCGCATAACTGAGATTAACGCCCGCTTCTCATTTAATGCTTTCTTCCATTCAATTTTTGCATACGAAGGCCTGGAAGACATGGGAGCTGGAATAAACGGATTGAGGTGTGCAGCAGATCCAACAAAGGTAAACATTTCTGAAAGACCCGGAGAGACAGTTCAAAACATGAAGTGAATTGTTTCTAACATTGGGTAGTTACTTGATGGAACCATCAGTCTCTTCCAGACGAACGTTCCATTGCATATTCTCAAGGGTAAAGAACTAGGGATGGACATCCATATGCTTCTTCATGTTGTTCAACAGCGGTTCGGGTTCAGACCCAGAATCATCACTCCGGCACAGCTCAGGCTCTTCACTCTTGATAATGGTAGTGGATATAAACTTTGTTGTTTGGTGGGGCAGAATGAAGAGATCTCCTCTTTAGCCTGGAGGACCAATACTGGTGAGGTCGTGGAGGAAATCCACCAGGTCGGCCTTGAGCTGCATCAATCAGAGCTACTCGCCTTAGAGCCGGAGATGCTGCGTCAGATTAGTCTCCGTTGTTTCAATGACTTCCGTTCAATCTTTCTGACACATGACAAGCGAATGCTCGGTATCTTGAAGCAAGAGCTGGCTTCGCTGGTTTCGCGGTGCGTGATCACTCGTACACAAGCACAGATTTTAGATCAAGGAATCGCGGATACCTACCTTCCTGGATCAAAAGAACTGGAAAGAGTCTTTTGCCTTGCACAGCAGTTTCCCGATTTACGAAATGAATTTATTCTGAAGCCCATTCGTAGTGGCAAAGGAGCAGGAATTGTGTTTGGTGACGAATTCACAGCCGAAGACTGGATCTCCGCCTTGCAGCTTCAGCGGAGCACTCAGATAATATCGGGTGTTACCTGCGTAGTGCAGCGCCGCATTACTCCCAGACTCTACAGTCTTGTTCTGAACTCTTCCGGTGTTCGTGTTCAATATCCCCTCATCGGAACATTTTTTGTCGTACACGGGAGATTGCTCGGCCTTGGCGCATGGCGTAGTAGTCCTGACAAGATCTGTGCTGTCAGTCATGGAGGAGCCTGGATTCTCTCAGTCATTTCTCAAGATGAAATTTAGTACTTTTGTAGCTTATATTTTGTTATCTTTATTACTTGAATAATTGATTCTAATTCTTTTTCGGGTCGTTTCAAATCCCGTTTACTGCCAGCTCTGAAGTTTGATCTACGTTACTGTCACCGTTCAGTTCACGGAGAGACTGTGAGGAGTATGAGATCATCCAATATACCCATTGTGAGTAGCTCAATTATTGCTTGGGTAATTCCTGGAGGTATAGGATCTGCATATCATTCACGCGATATTAGAATACTTTCAGGTCTTGAAATATGTAATATGCATCTTGCTGCGAGATGATGTCGCAGAAAAAGTTAAAATATGCTACAGGACACACATTATTGCTAAGTGTACAAAATGTGTACAACTTACAAGAAGAGGCTGGTAGCCCCGGCATCCACTGTCATTGATCCATCTGATTATTTACTGTTACATATAGATTCCTAAGAAAGTGTGATTTCAGATACAAATCTGAGTTTCATTCAGCAGGTCATACTGCTTCTAGGAAAATTTTACATTCACCGTGGGAATCTCCATTAAAGAGATTCAATTGCCTGAGAAATTTTTCAATTTCAATGTTGCAATATCGGGAAGAAATGAAATATAGAAATTTGAATGTCTTGGAAACCTTTCAAATTGAAAATGACCTTCAAGCTTCTGCTAAAAAATTTAAGATTATAGAATCCGAATGATGAACTTCTCTTCGATCTTTATTAAGCTGTTGTACGATGCAATAATAATGTGAATAACCTGAATGATCTAGAAAATCAAATTTGACACCATCAGTAATAATTCACTAAATAATAACTGTAGGATGATTCAGACCGGTAGAGGTTCAAGTTCCTGACCCGGGCCCGCTCTTTGTTGATTGTCGTGGTTTTAGTCTAAATTTAGGGTATAATACTTTGCTAAATTTCCTGACAAAACTTGATAACATTTCAGTATCCGAAACACGATTTTTCTCGGGTCTATAATATGATCACGCACAAAGTAGGACAACAGAGACTTCCCAAGGTTGTTCGTATATCAACTATAACCTGGAAAAACTAGTATATTATGTAAGCATCCAAATTGGAGCAAGTGAGAATGAACAGGAACAGAATTCACTAATCAGTCTCAAGTTTGATGGAGTTTTGTGCAAAATATACACAGCTGGAGTGATAAGAAACTACCAGTATTGGTTAAAGGATGAGAGAGTGAATTTATATTACGACAAGAAACCTTTATCGTTTGAAGGATCCGAATGGCCTCGCATCCCATCGGACACGCCGGAGATGACGATTGGGGTCTTTAACCTCATTTCGTGAATGTAGCCATCGCCGGTTATCCATCATAATGATTGATCCCCTAGGGAGATCTTCGGGGGTCAAGTTGATGGTCCATTCCCGAGCTCCTTTATCATACAAAATTGCTTTCAGTTCATTCAAGGCCTCAGCAGCCTCCGGAGTCAACGGAGTTGTGATATCTTCCCGGAAACGTAGCTGATTCCCACCACCTGCTTCACGTCTCATATGCAGTAAATTTCCTACAATAAACTGCTCATCGCTTTTTTTTTGAAATTCAGGGGGAACGGCGACCATGTAATTGGGGCTGGTAAGCCACGTTCGTGCGTGGGATGAGAGTAAAGCGAGGAGTCGATCGACACCCAATAATGACAATGTCCCACCGCCGAAGCGATCTGGTTGAAGGACTTGGAGTGCAAAATAACGAGGCGGATGACTTTCATAACTGCAATCCGTATGCCAGTCAAAGCAAGACATCGTCTCCGAGCGAGCTTGGTGTCCATGACTTTGAACACTGCCTGGAGAGGGCCTAACATCCCAGAACCACCCGCGCTCGGCGCTGTGGGTTATTGGAAGGCCATGGTTGTGGTTCTTATTGAGATTGCGAATTAGATCTTGGAGATAAGAGCTTTTCTCATCCTCGAATCCTAACTGCAATTGTAGTACTCCTCTTGTTTCCAGACTATCGTGTACGGCTCTCAAGTGAGATGTTTGAAAGGCCGCGCCTAATTTGGAAACTTCAATCAAGGGAATGGGGCTGGAAAACTCATGATACCCTTTTCACAGTTAGTAAATATGAAATCAAAAGGTCGATTAAGAGGAATAAGATAAGTCATACTAATAGGTAAGGTTGTGGCAAAATGACTGGCTGTTGCCTGGGTTGCTGCATGACCAGCACGAAGAATTCGCTGCATGGTGTGAGAAAACAACTAATGCTTCAGAAAATACGAAGAAAGGAGGAGGAAGCGACGGTCTAGTCAGTTTTCTTCACTTTAAATATCGTTCACAAGTGGACGGACTCATCATCACTAATTCCGAAAATTTCCCAGCTCAATGTTTTCACCAATTACAAATTACTGAACGTTTCACAACTAAGGTTGAGGTAATTGCTACGCCGCCGGGTTTGAATGTCAGACTTCAATTCTGGTTCATAGCTTGAAGATTCAACACAAGCAGCCATGCTCATGAGATCTTGTCACATGATCTACTCCATTTGGTTATTGAAATCCACTTTTTGGGAGAAATTGCATGGCATATATTGATGACAAAGACATTTTGATAATTCCGGTCGATCAATGAGGCGTTTGTATGGGTTTTCAGCTGGAGGCATCATATCATGCATTACTAAATTGAGACTTGTACGCATGCTCCCAGACTAAGCTTTGTATTAAACTAAGATACTTTCAGCAAGCAAAGACATTTACATGAGTCAGGAAAGTAATAGTACCTTCAGATTTGCGTAGCTAGAAATAGCGGTAATACTCAATTCGTGTGTAAAATAATAAAAAGTAATGAACACATAACTCGTCATTACTGCAACTCAAAACGTATTTTTCTGCATCGTTTTCATACACGCATGTGCCAAGTAATATGGTGTACTCACCTGGAGTAAACTATGGCTCGATGTTGCACAGAAAATGTTTCAACAGCGACGATCTCTTGAGACCATCCTCGAAAGTTATTTCTGTGGAATGTGATACCAATAACAACACTTACTATCCACGACTCCGGTACTTGAAAGATATGTAGATCCAATAGATGGAGTCGAGCATTGTTTTAAACATCGACTCGTGTCATTTCCGCAGAATCTAATCGCTCATCACAACTTCAAATCAACTTTTCGCTATGCCTGACTATTCCGAAAAGTCTTTACCCATAGGTTACAAATGGCGTTCATCCAAATGGTTCACCCTCTCAACCATCGCAATCGCGTTGTTTGCGGGTCTGTCTATTCGACCCCTTCTAGTCACATTTGAGATTAAACTAATACTGAACAGAAACTTTCCTGTATGGATTTCTTGTCCCAATTCTGGGGTATATGCTTGAGGAGCGTCTCCATGTGGACCAATCTCAAATTCAGATATTCACATCTGCCGTACTTGCTCTCCATGGTGCGCTCGCCATGCTGTCCAGTCCCATAATTGGGCATTTTGCAGATAAGAGCCCAAACCGCAAGTTCTGGCTGTTGATTTCTCTTTTATGGTGTATCATCGGCACTTGTATGGTAGCGATCACTTATTCAGTCGCTATGCTGTTCATAGGGCGTGCAATGCAAGGAGTTGCTGGGTCCGCTGTATGGATAATTGGCTTTGCAACTGTCGCAAGCGTCTACGGAGAGAACGAGCGAGGGTTTGGATTGGGTATGATGTCATCATTCGCTAACACGGGGACAATCGCTGGACCTGCTGTATCTGGTTTACTCTTAGAGGTTGCAGGTTACTGGGTGACATGGTCCGTTCCGCTCGTGATTTTAGCAATTGACCTTCTCGCACGTATGATTATGATAGAGGCCTCAGATACAACTTCCAATTCGACTCCGGATAGTAATTCAGAGATGACGGGTTTACTTCCTGCAAGAGGGGATGATCAAGATACGTCTGGAGCTGGAAGATTCTGGAGAATAATGCTGACTGATGGTCGTGTCGTTACCTGTTTATTGATGACAATTACGAGTACAGCTGTGAGCACAAGCTTTAATGCCACTCTTCCTCTGCAAGTTTTAGAGATGTATGGATGGGGCCCTAGTATCGCTGGGCTCCTCTTTGTCGGTCTGGTAGTCCCTGGACTTCTCATTGGCCCCCTAGCCGGCTGGGTTCGCGACCAATTTGGAGCACGAATTCCTGCCGTCTTTTGTTCTATCATTCAGGCAATATTTCTGGGACTTCTAGGTATTTCTGGTAGCCAAGCTGGAGGTGGTGCGCTCTACATAGCGTCTATCATAATTATAGGTGCCCTGCGACCATTTGTATCTGGTAACGCACCTGCTGAGTTGGTTGGTACGTCAGCTTCACATTCCCATGATGTGACTAGTATGACTGTTATGATAACTAGAAGAACCTTTAGCTGCTGGAAAAGTATTTCAAAAAAGGACACCCCTTGCTTTTGAATCTCAAGGGTGTTTGTCGCGCGTATTCTCCATGCTCGATGCTGGTGCATCTCTTGGAATGACGTTGGGCCCTATTATAGGTGGTTCTTTCAAGGAATTGATTGGGTATCGATATATGAACTGGATCTGGAGTAAGATATCTATGTTCATTTTATTGAGTCGCTAATGAACAACGATAGGCTTCTTGTATCTCATGATTGCCGTTCTTGCTCTGTCCTTTCTTGAACATAAAGAGAAAGATGAAAGGCTTGACTTTGAGGAAAGGATCTAACAAAAAAAGACTTTACCAGAATAAGACGCGGGGACTTTAAGTTATAAGATGTAGAGCTTGTGTGAACACATACTTCCTAGTTTTTTTTGCTTGGAGATAGCCAGAGACGGAGGACGTGAAGTTAGCTATTTGAATTTAGCTTCAGGGCCACCCCACCCATCATGGTGTGGCTTAGCACGAAATATTAATAACCACTCGAGATCCAGCCCCAGCCTTTCAAATAAACTAATTATTGCTTTCGATTACGTCCGCTCATGAGCTCACCGCCAATCCAGGACAAAGAAAAACTTTCTTTATTGGTAATAATTGAATTTGGAAGGCATTGGAATTATGAAGAAACCTCAAAATAAATCATGGATTGTTGTAACCCAAGATAATCGTCGCGCAGACACACGCATCAGAAGAAAGCATAATTTTATATACAAGGAACTGGAATGGATCACGCGAGCACGCATCAACTGGTAACGGCATCGATTTCGATTATATCTACTCTCACTCATTTGAATTGCCAATTTCACCGCGATATGCTGGCAACTTCGCAACCTGAAACATTCGATACGTTCAATATTCCAACTATCAAACACAACTCAGTGCCAACGGTCCACAAATTTGATTACTTTTCCCGCAGTATTGCTTCGCTCGAACCCATCCAGATTATCCAGGAACACAATTCGTGCCAGATGTTTGTTTTCTGGGATAATGAGAAAAAAGCTCTCTAATCGTTCTGTTAAAGTTTGAACAGAGAAGATATCATCTCGTGGAGGTGATCGAAGTAAACGGATTTCCAGGCTCGCTTGCGGTATATCATCCAATCGGTCCAAGATGATTTGCCATTGCAAGATACCATATTCTTTTTCTTGCATGAAAGCTTCAATTCTCTGAAACTCAAAATAAGCAGCATACCACTTGAAGCTGAATCGACGATCACGCCCTTGCATACGTAGAATACGTAAAAACTTCCGGTCAAACTCAGGATCTACAACAGAAGCAGTATCTGGAAGTGGATGAATAGAGCCAATGTCGCCGGTGATATAGCGTACTAATGGGTTGCGCAATCTTTGAAGCGAAGTTTGCACTATGAGACCTTTCTCTCCTTGTGAAAGGCATTCGGAAATGAGTGGAGCTATATCGTCACTGACGGAAGGGGGATCTTGGGGAAAGATCTCGAGCAACATACTTCGCGTGTCAAAGATGAAATCGGTGGTGATTTCTGTAACATTTTGCTCTCCAGTCAGCTTTGGATTGCTGATTGCCCAGGGACCTGCTTCAGCACTACCCATTATGGAGAAAATCATGACATCCCCTAGCACAGACTTGATAAATATGCGTTGAGGACCGGTCAATGGCTCTGAGGTGTAGATGATCTTGTTCAGAACGATACGCTCACGATCTTCTTTCGCCATCATTGAGATGTGCTGGACAGTCTGAACAATTTGGCTACCGTCGCCGGTGAGAGCGTTGACATGATAGTTAGCTAGAGATTGTAAAACTTCGGCGGGTGGCATGTAAGCACCGGCGCTAAGCACAGTTCCTCCTGCATTCTCTATAATCTCTGTTGTTAGATCTAGTGATCTTATATGTGTCAGTTTCTCCGGGATAAGGACGAAAAATCTATACATGGATTATAATGAAGTACCTGTAAAACCCTCCAGCCAAGTGAGTAGACAACACCAAGTCTTTCGGTTCAATCACACCACAGATCCTAAGTAAATCTCCCATCCGAGCCCGCTGTCGACGATTCTCATGCACGTCTACGGCGAACATCATGGGAATTGCGCCAGATCCACCGCCAGTAATACTCATGTATGAGCCATGGCGATAGGTGTTCCTGGGATCCACATCATGAGTGAGTCTTTCAATTGATTTGTACCTGATTCAGATTAGTTCCCGAATGCAATCAAGTTTAATGTGAGTGTAAAAATGACACACAGTATTTTTTTATCAAGCAATGGCTGTTGTTGAAGATCTAATTCCTTTTCTTTACTGCGAGTAGAATTCTGAAATTTCGTTACTGTTTGTGAGTCGGCTGGGTATATAACAGTCTCATTATAGAAAGGATGATTTTTCGCAACGGCCAGTACTTCTGCCAATGAGTACGTTCCTTTAGCCATGACTGTGAGAATATTGAACTTCGAAAATTGCGATACTCCACAATCAATTGTGCCAAAGTGAAAGCTATATCCCACGGAAGATGACAAAGGACCTCATTTAAATACGAAGGAAAAAGTATGCCAAATAAATCTGGGGGTGACGAAGAGATACAAGTGCGAGATAATTGACAACTCAATTGATTGTTCCTTCTCTGACACAGTTTTCTGGAGAGGCATTCACCTTGAATCACAATGGTATGAATATTCAGCCGCGGTAACATCACATTGCACGAGAATCGATAGTATTATTTGCTACATGAGAAAGTAAGACAAGTTACTTAGCTCTGTTTTAAATAATTGTTATTGATTGATCGACCCATATGCGCACAACAGATCAAATAAATAACCGTATGATGTACTGTACTTCAATCAGATGTTTCAATGTCTTAAAATTTCAATTTATCATCAAAATATTATCACTTTCCGATGCTATTAAAAGTACTATGAGTTTGATATAAACCCCTATTCTGATTATGTAAGTATGAAGTTAAATCACAAATGTATAGCTCCTGATAGTCTTATAAGGCTCAAAAAAGGCCATCAGTATTAGGTATCATAGAGCATCTTATTCCTGACGGTTCTAATCACATGCTTCGGTCCTACACCGTATATCACAGATGTATTTCTTCACAAAGCTATCTACAATCAAAGAAAGCGTTGTCTCAAAGTATCGTGTATTTAAGCTGGCCTTAACACGGCCCATGCCGAGCGTCAGCTTCTCCTGCAGAGACGCCGATTGCTTCATTAATTTTTTCTAGTGAGCTGGCATCGTCAAGGTGGATTGTATGATACCTGACAAAGTAGATTAACTTTGAAGGAAATTAGAGATTCTGAGTGCACCTGGTAGAGAACATCCTACTAACGCCGGTTCTGCTTTCTGCTGCCTCACCGTTGACTAAATCACTGAGTGGGCCTTCGTCAGGAGCGAGATGCTCACGCAGAAGAGTGATGATAATTTCAAAAAACAAATCCTATCAGCCCCTCGATGCCGCTGCTCCGGAACTGTGAAACTTAATTTAACAGCTTGTCGTGGGCGAAGTTGGGGACCGCACTCCAGAGGCTGTGGCCGCCACAATGAGTAAGAAGCTTGTAGCTCTAAGGTTATTTAGTCTGATACACGAGATCAAGGCAAGCAACGAGGCTTATAAGAAAGCCGAGAAGCGCGCGAGCTATTAGTTAGATATGACGGCGTAAAGGCCATATCGGATGATAAGCAAGTTGTTGCTGAGTCAATGGACATATTCTTATTGACGGTTCGGAGATTACGGCTTTCACATTCTTTCGGCATTTTGCACATCGCACGTAATCTCCGCGTGGAGCGGACTTATGGAGGCAGATCCTGATACAATGTTAGGCTTGATTCAGCTAGTATCGACCCCTACCTATTGATCAGTCTCCGCTCGCGAGGCTCTTGGAGTGACTATGCCATTAACCAGTAGACTTCGGCGCAAAGTTGAAGGTGAAGGTCATAATGGATTAATCGTGGATGGCAAAGTCATTTGAGGGTGTGAGTTTAATAGATAAGAAGGCGAAGTTAGCAGGAGTGGGGGCGGCCGCTAGCTCTATCTTGGTGATCAACACAATCAAGGTAGCAATAACCGATATCCCTGCATCGTGCACGACCCTGTATCTTGCACACTTTAATTTATTGAATTAAAAATTGTTTATAAATCCAAAACTGTTTATAATAATATTAAAATTTATAAAAAACAGATTGAAGATCAACGAAATATAATAATAAGTTTTTGATAAATTTGAAATATTAAATAGAATATTAATTGGATTGTAAAAAATAATATTTTAAGATATTAATAATTTAATAAAAATTTATATTAAAATAAATTTATATTATTAAAAATAAAGTTTTTTGAATTAATTTATATTATTATTATTGAAAAAAAGCTTGAAATTCTGAAAAATATAAAAAATTACGTTTTAAATATAATTTTCAAAATATGTATAATATTCAAAAAACTATAAAAGAATTTAAAAATTCTTTTTAAATATTTTAAAATGTTTTTTATAGATTTTAAGAATTTGAAATTATTATTGATTTTAATTAGAAAATAGAATTTTTATATATTAGAAAATATATAAATATAATAATAATAAAATTAAATAAAAAAATAATAAATATTAAAACCTATGAAACTTATTATATTATAAGTTAATATAAAACGAAAAAATAAGAAATGAAATAAAATATTCTAATTTTTTAATAAATAAATCTATTATTTTTTTAAAAAAACTAAAAATATTATAAATCTATTTTTAAAAGAATTTTTTTTAAAAAAAATCCTCAAATTTTAATATTTCTAATTTTATAGATTAAATATAATTATAATTTAATATTATAATATTCTGTTTTTTATTAATATTCAAATTAATTCTGTTTTTAAAAATTTAAAAAAAAAATCTTTTTTAGAAATCTTATTTTATTATATAATCCTGATATTTAATTTCATAATTTTTTAATAATTGAAATATATATATATATTAATAAAATATAGTTATTTTTAGTTTTCTAATCAAAATTAATTTATTAATATATATATAATTGAAAAAATTAAAAATCATTATAAAATACTTGATTTATAATCAATTTTTTTTAAAAAAAAAATTATTTATGAAAACTTAAATAATATATTGATATAATATCAAACTTATAATATAAAAACTTGATTTTTTTATTTCTTTATATTAAAATATATTCAAATTTATAAAAAAAAATTGAAAATCAATTTTCGCTATTTCTATTAATAAATAAATTAATATATAATATTTTTGTATTAATAATTTTAATATTGAAATTATATTATATATAATAATTATTTTTATATTTTGATTACTTTATAAGAAATAAATAGTAATATGATATATTATGTATAATTATTAATGGAATTCAATGATTGATTAATTATATATTGAATTTAGAATATCTTTTTTAAAAGAAATAAAAGTGTGCACGATACAGGGGCGTGCACGATGTAGGGATATCGGTTACTTCGTCGAATTTGTTCATGATGCTTGGCTTGATATGATTATTCTAGCGTTCTAAAAATTTGATCGGGTACTAGCAAAACAAGCTTCGGATAGTGATCCCAGAAGCTCCGTAGTTTCATATCCATTCGAGCCATTTTCCAGAGCAGAGCATAACATTTCGTGAAAGCCGAAATCAAGGCCGTCCTGGCAATTAATATTCGTCCATGCTTTATGAAATCGGGTTCTCCACTTTCAGTCAATCTTATGCACCCCTCAATCTCGGCCTGCCAAACAATGTCCGCATTCCGGGTACAGATTATATATGTCAGACCTCGAGTAGAAGAACATAGAGGTGTTAAAACCGCAATCTTCTGGCTGTCAAATACTCTCTTTACTTGGCTCAAAACTCATTGATTTCAACATTCCATCTCTACGCATCCTATTGCATTTCATCCAAAACGAAAATCGCTTCCTCCCAGCATGGTATTGCGACTCTTATGGCGTGATCCATTCTGGAACGGCAAGAGGAAGCCGTTTGGTATAGGCATTCTTATGTCTGGGATTATGGTTATCCTCCTCTTTCTCACAATGATGTCGTACATGTACGGCGTCCTCTTCAAAAGCGGATATCGGGCGCATAACTTGAATATTTTGGCTGTTGACTATGACGGAGGTATAATTGGTGAAGCATTATCAGTGGCATACGAACAGTTCCATGGAGATGAATTTCCTGAGCTGCAATTCCATACTCCAGCCAAATATCCCTCTATAGTTGAGGTTCAAAAAGCTGTATGCCGTGGAGACTATTGGGGAGCTATCGTTACTCAACCAGGAGCGTCGAATCGTTTGTCTCAGGCTCTGAGAGGTGGCTCTGCGGCGGGTACCTACAACTCGAGTGACTCCTTGACCTATATCAACAATGGCGCTCGATATCCAGCTGTACAGCTGGGCGATATCTCTGGAAATCTGGAAACTCTTATTGGTGCTGTATCTTCAGTTTACCATGCTCTCAACGGATCACAAGCTCTTTCGTCACTCAATGCTAGCAATGAAAACGCAGTTCTTGCCTTCTTGAACCCTATAAAAGCTTCTCACATCGACATCAAACCAACTGAACAAGGTACCCGTGTTTTGTTTAATACTGTGAGCGTAGTCTTACCTATTATTCAACAATTCTTCTTCCTCATGGCATTTAATGGCATCAACAACCAGTTTGGTATTTATGGTCGTCTCAACTCTACACGAATTGGCCTGATGAGGTTGTTTACCTCGATCGTGTACACGTTACTCGCCTCTCTTGCAACGACTGGTTATATTTGGGCTTTCCGAGAGTCTTGGAATGTCAATGGGGGTCAATTCGCACTTTTATGGATGTCATACTGGATTTATATGCATATAAATTTCCTTATTCTGGATGCAGCTACTGCTTTTATTCCCGTATCCTTTCTGACGTTTTTTGTCCTACCGTGGGCGATAATAAATGTAGCAGCAACCATTTATCCATTCGAGCTGAGCCCAGGCTTCTACCGCTGGGCTTATGCTCTCCCTTCTCACGAATTCTACTCATTGGCCATTCAAGTCGAGAGTGGATGTGGAGATGTATTGTATAGAGCACTCCCCATTCTCTTTTCCTGGGAGGTGGTGGGATTAGCGTTGGCAATCACGGGATCATCTTATAGAAACCGACACGCGGAAGCAGAACTGATTGCGGTGGGAAAGGTGCAGCAAAGTGCAAGTAAGAGTGATAATAATACATTGTATGACGACGAGCGGGAGCTGATTACAATGAATCGACTATCGCCGGTTCAATAGCGTATTTGTCTGGACATTTCTAAAATTTATATTTTATATACTTTAGATTCCTTTGCTTCCTTCATTTCTCTTGATAGAAATCATTAATATTATTTAATACTTGCCTCTTATATTGTGATCGTTGATTCTATTCTTCCAACGAAATTACTATAACTAGAGGTCAATCTCTTTGATTTTCTTACTTCTATAAAGATTATAGTATTATATATATACAAAATTCAAGATCTACTCAACTATTCGATTTAAGTAATATAACTAGTCTTAATAATTTATAATTTCTTTAACAATTCCAGATAAAACCTATATGCGAGGATGTACTTAAAGCGAGGTGGTCGAAGATAGGGGTTGGTCAGGAGGGGTCGTTGACTTAATGCTCGTTACTAGCCTCGGTACATGTAAGCCTGGAGCTCGGAGATAATCGGCCCCCAGCGATTAACGCCGCTAAACCCACAAACAGCAATCATCTGGAGATGATGACCTTTCACGCCAGTGCGAAAGTCACAACAGACCTATCGGTATGCTTGAAGACTTTAAGTCGGTAATATCAGTATGGATAGCCAAATACCAAGTTCGACTAGCAAGACAAGTGACGGACAAAAGGTGCTGAGAAAACGCCTACGACTAAGTTGTGGAGAATGCAGAAAAAAGAAAGTAAGTGCATACAGTACCACTTTCAGTATCATTATCATGAGATATTTCCTAATTGGCTCTCGATAAATAGCTTTCGTGTGATCGTAGATTACCTTGCCAAAGATGTGTAAGATCCGGACGATCGGGACAATGTTCATTCGAAACAGGAAAGCCCTCTATAACGATGCAAAAGCAGCAGCGAGCTCAGTCTGATAGCGAGGAAGTTCAAAAACTCCGGTCCGAGGTGAAGCAATTGAGAGTATTGCTGTCTAAGATTCATTCGCAAAATGAAGCCACTACTGTGGCAGAGCCTGTGCCTGCTACTGGCGTCTCGGAAATAAGCTATGGGCTGCTATCAGACAAGCGTTGCGAGGAGACTTATGGATCCATTATACCGACGGATAATGGCCTTATTCATCCGACCGCAAGAACTCCTTCTAGCTACTACAACCAACACCATCTATTTCGCTTCTTTGAAGAGGTGAGATTCTGTGCATTATAAAATTCTCCCAAGATTTGCTTATATCACAATACAGATTCCTGAACTCTTTCCGTTGATGAAAGAAACGTATGAAGAATTCTTGCAACCTCATGAGGATCGCATTAGAAAGGACAAGGCCGCTCGGAATGATTTACAAGCTCGTGTTAATTATTCGGCAGAGTGCCAGATGGAGGATATTCTTCCGGAAAAGGACGTAACAGATTTTCTAGTACTGTCTTACCTCCGAAACTTCGAGCAACTACATCGAATCGTTCATATTCCTACTTTTAACAAAGAATATGCCGAGTTTTGGGTACCGAACTGTACTCATCATTCTAACATGACGGCACTAATTCTCTCTATGATATCAATCTCAATATGCATTCCCGCCAGCTACAACAGTCTCACATCTTCTCATCACCAAATAGCTCCAGGGCAGTGGATCTCCGCGTGTGACAAATGGTTAAAAGGCGAAGTTCAAATGGCCGTAAGCTTGTGCACTATCAAATCGGCTGTTTGTTGTACCTCGCAAGACGAATGCACATGATTAGGAAGAAAGAATGGTACAAGGAAACCAGTTCTTTACTTCAAAATGCAATCATGGATGGGCTACATCGAGATCCGATTTCAAGTAGCGATACAATCTTTACGCAAGAGATGAGAAGACGAATGTGGGCTGTCGTTCGCGAACTCGACTTGCAAAGCTCATTCGAGACTGGAATACCAACTCTCCTGAACACAATCGATGCTAGAACTGGTACCTCTGAAGACATTGATGATGAAGAGTTTGACGAAACCTCGAAAATACCTCCAATCTCAGGTTCATTCGGCAGACATACCCGAACATCTTATCAAAACCATAGCTCCCACAGCTGGGGGTTGCGTCTAGACGTATCTCGCCGACTTTTTGCGACAGGAACACCAAAAGTATTGAGCTACGATGAAGTCTTACAATTAACCCATCAATTGACCCAGGAAATTCACTCCCTCCCAGGTTGGGATGAAATCGATTCCAGGGTAACAGGCCATGCCTGTTCTCCTTTTCTCACTCATGCATTCTTACATTTCCAGCTTAGTGAGTGTATTATAGCTATCCATCGACCCTATCTCAAGAGAGAAGATTGCAAGTTTTGGCTTTCTGAAAATGTTTGTTATCAGATATCGCGAGATATACTTTTGCTCAATTTAAAACTGATAAGCACGGGTGTTCAAACTGTAACATTGCTCCGAGAAGATCTTTTGTTGGCTTCATTAACGCTCACTCGTGTCACTTTGCTACAGCATAAAGGTCAGCTCACTCTCACTCGTATTTCTGATGTTGAGATATAGTATCTTGAAAACAAAGTGCTGATTTTCGTTTCAATACTCTTCCTTTATCGGAATTTGCACCATACTAATGAGATAATACAGGCTCAAGTAGTGTTATCATGAGCGATTCCACTGCTATCATTGATTTCCTCAAGCAATGCCTTCCTACTATGGGCAACAGATATCTTTATGGGTTCCATAAAGAGCCTTGGTGTTTTCTGACTATGGCTACAGCTATCGCATTACTCAACATACACGCAGGAGAAGGTAGTCCGGAGACCGCCAAGCTCAATGTTTCACGGAGTTTTTCAGATCTACATCACAAGCGTATCGAAAACGAACGTCATATATCCATTTCTAGCCAGCAGGATTCCAGTCCACGAATGTCCGCAGAGCACATTGATCTTGGTGGACAATCTGCTGCGCATAAAGCCGCAGAATTTTCGGCTTTCTCGTGGTTGAACATTTCTGATGTTAGTATGACGTCTTAAAATCTGCTGAACACTGATTGACTTAAAGGCAGTTTGAAAGTGATTTTTTTGATCTGGGAATGGACTTAGATAGCATGTGGCAGTTGTAGTAGTCTATTGGTTCCTGAATTTCATAAAGCTAGCAGCCAATTGAGAACAAATCAGACTACAAAGAATATCCATAGAGATTATGACAGCCCGAATTAAGTGTGTGTGTCTTCAACGCGAAGTTTTGTCGATGTATTCGTGCTTCAAAACTTCTAGTTGGTGTTTTCAACTTAACCCCGAGCACGCGAGATTCCTCACGAATTGTTATCGTATTCAACACGTTCAGCTTAGCCAAGCCACTTGAAATGTACGACTAGTCAAGTGCTAATCCCAGAAAGAAACATTGTAGCTGCAATTTCTATCATTTGGAGATAGCACCGATTATCACCGAAGACAATGCCCCACATTTAAGAGTATAAGCTCGGATATGATCGGTCTTCCGAGCCTGTGATTAAACTTCTCATACTATGAGAACAACTCGTCACGAGAATCGAACAGTGTGGTACCATCAAGAAAAAGATCTTTTCACTATATATATGGCTATATCCTTCAATATTCCGGTAGCTATAACGACTCAAATCTAAATATTCTTCAAAATATCAACTACAAATCCAAACAACCCATCCACAATGTCTTCCTTGCCATCTCAACATCGCGCCCTAGTGCTCGAATCAGTAGGCTCAGACTTCATCATCAAATCTTTGCCAACAACTCTCCCAACGCCTGGCAGCGCCGTCGTTCAAATTCACTGTACCGGTGTTCTCTCGTACCATCGTGAAATATACAATGGCTCACGCCCATATCCATTTCCTCTTCCTATCGTCGGAGGCTTCAGCGCTATTGCTCGCATCGTCGCACTTGGGCCTGATGCAGTTTCTCTCAATGAAGGTCAATTAGTTTATGTCGATTGTGTTGTGCGTGGACGTGATGATCGCAGTACTCTTTTTTTGAGTGCTATCCACAACGGATTTAGTGAGGGCAGTAGGAGTTTGATGAGAGATGTTTGGAGAGATGGTACATTCGCAGAATTCGCGAGGGTACCTTTGGAAAATTGCATTGCACTTAACGAACCGAGACTCTGTGGAGAACTGGGATACTCGTTGCAGGACTTGATTTATCTTTGTTACCTTCTTGTTCCATATGGCGGATTGAGAGATATCAAATTGGAACCAGGTGAGACGATTGTGATGTGTCCGGCAACAGGTGGATTTGGTGGTGTGCAAGTTGCGGTCGCGATGGGAGCTAGGGTTATTGCTATGGGACGGAATGAAGAGGAATTGAAGAGGTTGAAGCAACATATCAAAAGAGGGACTCCAAGTGCAACTATTGAAACTGTCAAAATGACAGGTGATGTGGAGATGGATGCGGCGGCTCTACAGAAATTTGGTACAATCGATGCTGCATTAGATATCTCTCCACCTGCAGCAGCTCAATCAACACATTTGAAAAGCGTAATTAATTCGCTTCGAAAAGGCGGAAGAGCTAGTCTCATGGGTTCTGGAGGGTACCACATTAACGACTGGAAAATCATGGGGGATAACATCACGTTGAAAGGGAAACTGATGTATGAAAGAGATGATATTGTACAGTTAGTGAAAATGTTGGAGAACGGGTTACTTCCCAGAGGAAAGGATTTCGTAGATGTGAAACCATTTAGCTTGGAGGAGTGGAAAGAAGCTTTTGATACGGCTGCAGAGTTTACCGGTGTTGGCAGACTTGTTGTGATGAAACCATAAGTTCATCTATTCAGTTGCACAGATTGTACCTAGCCAAGGTTTTCCTCCTCTTGGAGTAGATTGTTATCCTGAATTACGAAGCAAAACAGATCAGCAGCCAAGCCTCTTCTACTCGATATTATATGGTTATATCATAGATAACACTTGTAGGATGCGTAAAAATATCTCATATATCTACGGTTATAAATAGAAAGTCAAGGAAGGAGCATATACTTCGAAAGATTTATATCGAGGAATATATCTAATCAATTACTTTGCAAGAGACGATCCATACTATAATATACTTCTAGTTTTATGATTGAATATACGGCGAATCACTCCCATGCCCCCCAAAAGGGATTTAATTACTCTCATACTCTAAAAGTAAGAGGTGATTTATTCTTATACTCCTTAGACTCTAGATAGAATTATATAAAATCTATATAAAATCTATTATATAGAATTCATTTTATTAAAAAAATGCTTTCAAAAGGAAGGAAATTATGTATCGTAGAATTTAGTCTAGAGCAATTACAATTTATATTTGTTATATAGAATCTAATTTAAAATAACTAGAATCTATACTCCTTGTACAAAATCCGATTCAAAATAAATGGAATCTATACTTCTTATATAGAATCTATGCTCTATTTATTATAAAATCAAGCCTAAACAACTAGAATCTATTATTAAACATAAAGAATATTATTGGAAAACACGTGATACGGCACTTGATATAGCATGTATACATCCTATAAAACTCCTTTGTTTAGGCTTTCCGAATAGATAGATTTAAAAATTATTCTCAATATATTATTCTTTATGTATAATTTATTATTTATTTCTAATAAATTATAAGTCTTGCATTACAATTAATATTATTTTTATTTTATTTTAGAATATATATACTGATTCTTTTATTATCCTTACTATATCTATCAAATATATAATCAATTTGATTTAAATAAAATAAAGAATTTCTATTATATTTAAAGGTAATAATTAAATCGAATTTTATAAATCTCTTGAATTTATAATAATAATATTTATTTATATTGATATATATATAAATAATAAAATAATATTAATTAAAAATTATTTCGATATCATTAATTGAAGAAAGCAAAATAGAATTATAATTTTTATTATAAACTTTTATTTAATTTTTACTTATTATTTTCAAATTATATATTTTATCAAAAATAAAGATTTTATAAATATATAAACAAAAATTTTGATTTTCAATAATTCATTAAATCCTTAATATATCAAAAATATTAAAAAGTATTTTCTATATAAATAATTTAATTTTAAAATAGAATCTATTTAAATCTTTTTTGATTCTTTTCTTTATTATTAATATAAAATATTTATTTTAAATAATTTAATTTCCAATAAAAATATATATAATTAGTTTTTAAGCTTTTTTTTAAAAATTAATATTTAGTAAATATAATAAAATTTTATTATTATAATAAATTTAGGGTTATACAATATATTATTTATTTTACAAAAAGTCAAATAGATTCCTTGAGTTGGTATAAATGTTGTATTAGTTGATATTATATAAGGTTCTATATATAAATAAGGATTTCAAGATATTTAAAAAAAGAAAAAAAAAATCGAAAGGGGTATTATAGATATATAAGAAACTTTATAACTTTATTAAAATTTAATAAAGTTAATAAAATTAATATTCGATTCTATTAATTTTATATAAAAAAAGAATATTAATAAAAAAATTACTTTATATATATTAAAATTAAGAAAATATTAAAATTAAATAATAAGATTATTAAGAATAGTTTTATATATATAATTATTATTTACTTAATAATAATAGAATTAGAATATATTATTTTTCTTTATTTTATTATTATAATATATATTTAAATTCTCAATAGTTATATCTAAATATTTGATTTTAAAGCTTTTTATTATTTTATTGATTTTTTATAAATCTTATAAATATTATATATTAAAGTTTATTTTATTAAATAAAAACTATTAATAATTTATATATTTTTAATATTATTTTTGAAATAATTATTATTAGAAATCTTATTTTGAAAAATATTTAATATATCAAAGATTTTTGATTTATTTAATTTATTTCAATTAATATTTTTATAAAATCCAAATAAAAAATCATTTTTAAAGAGGATTTAAGTCGACCACCTGTTACAAAATCACTTCTGAGAGTATTTAGAAGCTTTATCGCTAAGCTAAAAGCCCAAAAGACTAGGAGATAGAACTAAAAGTTCTATCTTATTCTTATATATATAACAAAACAGAATAAAACAAAAAAAATTAATATTATCTTATAACACTACTTTCCTCCTTAAAATATAATCTCTATATTATTACCTAACTAAAAGATTTTAGAATTAATACCTCAAGTATTCAAATAAACAAAATCTTTATATACTAACCCCTAAATTAACAAAAATCTATAAATTATAAATAAATTCTCTATATAATTTCATACTTATAACCAAAAATAATTCCATCTAATATTACAAAATCATTTCTGAAAATATTCAAAAACTTTATTGTTGAGCTAAAAGCCCAAAAGATTAGAAGATAGAACTAAAAGTTCTATCTTACTTTTATATATATAGCAGGACAGGACAGGACGGGAAGGGCTAGTGTCACCCCGTGACACCACCCCTGTTTTGGGTTATTCTTTTACACCAAAAATCACTTTTTTAGTTTATTAATATCTTTATTAATATTGAATATAATTTAATAAAAACTTATATATATATAATTTAAATCATTTTAGATTTATAATAAAAATTTTGAAATTTTAGGATTTTTCTGGATTAAAATCTAAAGCTTTAAAATATCGATTTTCGAATTTGTATAAAAACTATATATAAATTTAAAATATTTATATAATCTTGAATAATTTTTTAATAATAAATATTAAAAAAAATTATATATTTTTTTGAAGATTTCAAATCTGAGTCTATATAAATATTCAAAAAATAATTTAAAAAAATAAATAAATATAGAGATATAATATATAGTGAATTTAGAGTAATATAAATAATTTCTATAATTTTAAGAGTATTTTTTGAAATATTTTTTTATAAAGAATTTTCTATTTTTTTAGAATCTTTTAAAATAAATATATTATAAATTTATTATAAAATTTTATAATTTATTTTTGGCTATTTTTCCTTAAAAGTTATTATAGATTTTATAGAATTTTGAATTTGTATATGATTTTTATATAAATTGAAAATCGATATTTTGAGGTTTTAGAAATAGATTCATAAAAATCCTAAAAATCTGAAAATTTCAATATAAATTCAAAATGGTTTGAATTATATATATATAGATTTTTATTAAATTATATTCGATATTAATAGAGATATTAATAAATTAAAAAAGTGATTTTTGGTGTGAAAGGGTGGCCCAAAAGAGGGGTGGCCCGAAAGTGGGGTATCCGACTTACATGTAAAAAAGGGCTCGTGCACCCCCACTTATATGATCCTCCGATCGTCATTCGCATTTCCATTTGTATTCGTATTAAACCCAAGTCACTGAAAAATGATCTGATCTTATTACTACCGAGTACGAAATACGTAAAAGGGTAAACTTAAACAGGAAAAGGCCCTAGAAAAGACGTAGAAGATTGCTCCAAAATTCGAATTAAGTGCGGTGCGCATTCTTTTAAAAGCTAACTTTCCTGATTATCAAATACGCCTAAAGCTCTTAGCGTGCTTTCTGTCCTAGAAGACACAGCCACGAATCGCCTGGAATTGAGTTTCAGCCATGGCTATGTTAATAAAAGAATGAACAGGATTCTCGGTGCTGGAGCGAACAAAGCCATTCGATATCAAACCAAGAATCGATACATCACCACCATCAATAATCGAACCTGAGAGAGGACACTTCGACCAAAGCCCCTGCCACAGACGCTACTCAAGTTGGATCGCCCTCTTCCGTGGCAAATATAAATAGGTTCTTCAAGTTTACTCGAAACTCAACGTCTCTCATCTACACTGCTCCATCTGCTCAAAGACACTTGCAGTGCCGCAAATTTTCAAACATCACATCAAATCAGGTTTTTCAAAGGAGCACACGTGAGCCTCATTGTTACCGGCGCGGTTTGTGGGGTCGTTCCAAGCTACTCGCCATGGAGAAGGGAAAAGGTAGAGAAAAGCGTAATTACAGCAAGGATGTACAGGCACCACTAAATCAATATAGCGATAGCGAAGGGGTTGTCGCCAATGGCGGCTGGCACGAGGCCGATAATGCTTCACACGATGCACAGGATCTCGATTGGGATAAGCCGCCTGCCTACGAATTTCACGGGTCTGGTCCAAACATTGAGACGAGTGTTGTTGCTCAAGGTAAATAGAAGTCATCTCTTCCATTATTCCAACTTTAATCGAAAGGTTTGGAAACAATACATGTTACTGACTTTGGCCTATTATCAGATGATGGGAGAGTTTCCATCAATTTCGCGGCTAGTGAGAAGCTACCCATTTCAATTCCAGCGGAGCCAAAGCCTTATACCCCACCCAATATCGCTAATCACAAATCTCCTTCTCTGAATATCGTGATTCAAATCGTCGGCAGCAGAGGTGAGTTGCGTTAATATCTCTATACTCATTACATATGGGTGACTAAATCTTCAAAGGCGACATTCAACCATTTATAGCTTTGGGGAGCGCACTGCGAACATCAGGGCATCGTGTGAGAATTGCGACCCACGATGTTTTCCGAGATTTTGTAAAAGCCACCAACTTAGAGTTTTTCCCTATCGGTGGGGACCCTGCATCCCTCATGGCCGTAAGAGAATTTTTTCCATGCCTATTTCTTCTATTCTAATATTTCACAGTACATGGTCAAAAACCCAGGAATAATTCCAAAGTTCGAAACGATCATGAGCGGCGAGATCTCGCAGAAACGTAAGATGGTATATACCATGCTTGAGGGATGTTGGAGATCCTGCATTGAGCCAGATCCGGAAACAAATATACCGTTCGTTGCAGAAGCAATAATTGCCAACCCACCAAGTTTTGCCCATGTGCATTGTGCGGAAGCTTTGGGCATTCCTTTACACTTAATGTTCACGATGCCTTGGAGCCCTACAAGGGCATTTCCTCATCCTTTGGCCAATATTGAACGATCAGACTCAGATCTACGAACTATGAATTACTTATCCTATGCGCTTGTGGAGATCATGACCTGGCAGGGGTGAGATACTTTGGCCAAGAATAGATGTCGGGAGGTGTGCTGATGAGTGCTTAGACTTTCGGATGTTATAAACCTGTGGCGCAAAAAGTCACTGAGTCTCGAACCAATACCAACGGCAACGGGCCCTCTACTTTGCGACACACTTCAAATCCCCTTCACCTACTGTTGGTCACCTGCATTTGTGCCAAAACCAGCGGATTGGGCAAATTATCTTGGTAAGCCATATTTTCTCGTACCACTCGAAGACTAACACAGTAAAGATGTGTGCGGTTTTTTCTTCAGAGAAGAGCCAGATTATACCCCTGATGCGGAATTGGACAGCTTCTTGAGAAGTGGTCCACCTCCCGTATATATTGGTTTCGGTAGTATTGTCATTGACAGTCCAGAGAAGTTGACCAATATTTTGATCGAAGCGGTTCGAGCTTCCGGGTCAAGAGCAATTATCTCCCGTGGTTGGAGTAAGCTTGGTTCTGGGCTGAGCGAGTATGCCAACCCAGATATTTTTTTCCTAGGCGATTGCCCTCACGGTGAGATTGACACGCACCTTTTGTGAATTTGAAGAACTTGAGCTGATTGGCTCTTTTTAAGAATGGCTGTTCAAGCACGTATCTTGTGTTGTACATCACGGCGGTGCTGGAACCACGGCATGCGGTCTTCTAAATGGACGCCCGACAGCCATTGTCCCATTCTTTGGCGAGTAAGTCATATTCTGTCCTTCATATGTCTCTTTAACGCCCAATCTCTCGTCGTCAATACTCAGGAATGAAAATAAGCTAATAGTTGATCCCGAGTAGCCAAGCATTCTGGGGGCAAATGATTGCTGCAGCAGGCGCGGGACCTCTTCCTCTCCATCACAAATCCCTCAGCCAAGACAATCTCACTCAAGCAATTCAGTACTGCTTAACACCAACAGCAATGAGTGCGGCCACCGAGATCTCAGAAAAAATGAGACAAGAAAGTGGTGTCCAAAGAGCTGTAGAATCCTTCCACACCAATCTGCCAGTAGATGCCCTCCGCTGCGATATTCTTCCCGATCAAGCTGCTGTATGGCAATACAGTAGCAAGAGCAAGAAGGGTTTCAAGACGTCTGTCAAGCTATCTGATGAAGCTGCTTTTACACTTGTAGACCAGAAGATAATTGACCCAAAGTTTTTGAAGCTGTAAGCCCCATTTTTCCCATGAGAACCTGCAATCCCAGTGAATTTTCGCTCGCTAATCAAACACAAGCTACCAACCCAAACCAATCTCGATCGAAAATCTCCGCTGGGATCCTGTATCGGCCGGAACCCATGTTCTTCTCAGCACTATGACCAACTTCACCCTTGGCTTCAGCGAGGTCTTTACCGGGCCTGCGAAAGCATTTCAAAGCAAAGATAATGGTGGCGGTGGTAAAGAAGCAGCTAAGACTTTTGGAAAGGGGTTTGGAAAGATGGTAGGCGTACTTCCGAAAGCCACACTAGTGGATTTTCCGTTAGCTTTGACTGAGGGTCTGCATCAAATGCCTAGATTGTATGGCGATGAGGTGAGGGATCATGGAAAGGTCAAGGATTGGAAAAGTGGCGGTGTTGTAGCTGGGAAGGTAGGTTTTATTTTTTATTTTTTTTCGTTGGTATAATACTTGACTTTATGAAGTTGACAAGTTAATCACAGAATTTTGGCTACGGGTTCATGGATGGCCTATCCGGCACAATCACCAAACCCTACAAAGGCGCGAAAGAAGGCGGCTGGGCCGGTTTTGGAAAGGGGGTAGCGAAAGGCGCAATGGGGTTAGTTACTGGCCCTGGATCGGGTATGTTTGGTCTCTTTGCGTATCCATTTTTAGGAATGTATAAGTCCATTACTACATCTTCGCTGTCGCCGACTGGGGAGAAGATTGTTTTGGCGAGACAAGTTTATGGGAGCTATATGGCATTAGAGAGGGAGAGTAGGAATAAGGGGGAGAGTGATGAGGGGGAGGAGAGAGTGGTAGCGGGGTGGGAGAAGTTGAAAAGTGCTGAGTGAGTTTTAAATTCTAGGAAGAGAGTAAAAAAGTAAAATAGGTGTTGGTTCGAGAAGGATACGGAAGACGTAGCACCCACGTATTGTAGGTCCTGTATGTCTAATTGTATTCTATCTAAAGAGCTAGCTATGTAGGAAAGTAGTAGGCCTTATATAGGCACTACTGAAAGAGCTAGTCTCTTTCGCATTCGCTTAATCCCTTTGATATAGTAGCCATTGTATTGAAGTCATTCTTTGAAGTGAATACTCTTGTTTACACAATAGGAACTTAGTATATATATATACAAGCAGAATAGTTTAAAAAGCTTTGAGAATTTAATTCTGATTATTATAGGTTTTTATAGATTATTAGTAGTAATTTAATCCGATAGAGGAATAGTAGTTTAATTATTATTTAATTGTTACTATTCTATACTTTAGTTTTAAGCTTTTAAAGATCTAATCTAAATATTATTCTAGAGACTTTTTTGGTGGTCACCACCGGTGGTGATTCATTTCGATAGAGGGTAGTGATCTCGTTAAAGACCCTCCAATTGGTTATTACTTTTTCTCGTTTCAATTTAGGGTTTTTCGAAAATCTGAAAAAATAACTTAATACTAATTTAATTGAATTATTTATATGAGGTTTTATTTTTTATTTTTTTAATATCGATTGATTTATATGAATTATAAACAAAAGTTAAGTTTTATAAGATTAAAGAAAAAGCTGTTACGTGATTAGAACTAATAGAAGTTATAAGCTTTACTACTATATTATATATATAATCTATTCAAAAAGCATAGTATTAGGAATCGATTTCTGATAGCTTATAATCAACTATATAATTTATAATAATAAAAAATACATTTATTATTTAATAATCTTATTATTAATAATCTTTTATTATTAATAAATTCAGAATATTCAATTATTAAGTAAATATATCCTCGTTTTTAATTGACTCACTTTTCTAATTAATTATTAATTCAATTCTAATTAAAATAAATTTAATTAAAGATTTTAGAATAATATTCATAAAGTAAAATCTTTAATACTCTATTATATAATTAGAATCAATAGAAGTTATAATGTAGTTTAACACCAAGTAGCTTATATCACCGAATGACTCATTTCAAAATAGACCAAAATTGGTCATTTTTGAATATTCCTATTTTAATAACTAATCATTATTTTTGAAAAATAAAAGAATATAAAATAATAATAAAAATTCAATTTCTTAATAATCTATTTTTTTTATAAATATTTTTATTATATTCAATAAAAAATTGAAAATGTTATGATTTTTGTTACAAAAAATTTATTTTAATAATAATTCTTGTATTAATTCGAATTTTCAAAAAAAGATTAGATTTTTATAATATTATTATAATTAAATTTTATATATTCAATTTTCAAAAAATTCTATTAATAAATAAAAAAAGTGTATGATTATATATAAACGAATTTTGTATGTATTTGAAGTGGGCCATTTGGTGATATAGGTCACTCGGTGTTAAACTACGTTAATGTGTTTTATCACTAAGTAAATTATATCATTGAATGGATTACTCAATTTATATATAAAATTTGTTTATATATAGTTATATATTTTCTTTATTTATAAATAAAATCTTTTAAAAATTTAATATATAAAATCTATTTATAAAGATATTATGAAAATCTAATTCTTTTTTGAATATTCAAATTAATATAAGAATTATTATATGAATAATTTCTTTATAACGAAAATCATAACATTTTCAACTTTTTATTGAATATAAAAGAAATATTTTTATAAAAATTAAATTTTTAAGAAAATAAATTTTTATTATTATATAAAATTCTTTTGATTTTCAGAAATAATGATTTATTATTAAAATAAGGTTATTTAAAAATAGCTAATTTTGATGTATTTTCAAATGATTTATTCGGTGATATGATCCACTCGGTGATAAAACACGTTAAGCTTTATTATTATATCATATATATAATCTATTCAAAAGACATAGTATCAGGGATTAGTTTTTAATAACTTACTACTATATATATATTTGTAATAAAAGCCATAGTGATTTATAAACCAGGCTCATAGTGATTTGTTAAAAACTATTAAAATTTATCAATTGGTCATTACTTTTTTAGCTTCAATTTGAAGCTTTTTTAGAATTTAAAAAAAGAACTTCATACTGTTCATTCTTTTCAATTGATTATATAAGTTTCAATCAATTTCTTTTTATAAAAACTCTAGTTTTGAAATTAGTATTATAAAAATTACATTATTTGAAAGTTTTTAGTTTTTTTTATATAATAATTTTTTTTAATTGAATTTGAATAGTTGTATTAAAAAGGTTTATTATTTTTATTAGTTTTGTATTATATTATAATATTAAGGAATTCAATATTACGGAGGTACTCGCACTGCAATGCGAATTATAAGATTTATCACAATGCAAGAGATAGATACTAGATTAGATATATAATATTCTACAAGGAAATTAAAGATAATACTATATAAGTATATTATATATAAACAAAAATAATTAAGTATCTATTATACTAATAAACCTATAATAATACCCCTCTTTCTAAAATTTATTTATTTTAAATAAATTAAAATAAAATAAAGAAATAAAAAATAAAGTATATTAAATAAACTACATTTTTATTACGGGCAGGCAGGTAGAAATAGAGTTCTAAGAACTTTGCCCTAATTCAGTAAAGTTATATTGATTTAGATAATAAATTTAAATTAAAGATTAAAATATAGTTCAAAAAATTATAATATAGGATTTTTCAAATTAAAGATATACAGAATTTTTATAAGCAAATTAATCCAATTAGACCCTAATTCACTTATACTTCAGTATAAATACTTATTTAAATTTTATTTAATAGAATTAATATATTATATAGTTTTATATTATAATATTATCTTTTTTCTAAAAGTAAAGCTCTATTAAAGTAAGAATATTATAATTCAATTGTTTATAGACTAGTAATATTTATTTAAATAGATTCTAATTTATTAGAATATTTTCAATAGAAATTGTAAATTAATTTTTATATATTTTTTAAATAGTTTATAGATTTTTCAATTAATATTTTATAATCAATTTAATAAATAATATAACGTAATTTATTAGTATATGAGCCACTTCAAAAATACACTAAAATCGAGGTTTTTTTAATATTTATATTTTAATAATCAATTATTATTTTAAAAGAGAAAATCATAAAAAATCATAATAAAAAATGGAATATTTATAATATTTAGGTTTTTTAGGGTTAGGGTTAGGGTTAGGGTTAGGGTTAGGGTTAGGGTTAGGGTTAGGGTTAGGGTTAGGGTTAGGGTTAGGGTTAGGGTTAGGGTGTTAGGGTTAGGGTTA